CTCTGCATTCATCAAACTTTCTTCATTCAGAGTTATTTCTTCCTCTGCATCGACTAATCTTTCTCCATCTTCGGTTTCGCCGACGGGTAGAGTTGTCTGTACCTCTGCATTCATCAAACTTTCTTCATTCAGAGTTATTTCTTCCTCTATATCGATTAAACTTTCTTCATCGTCGGTTTCACCGATGGGCAGAGTTTTCTGTTCCTCTGCATTCATCAAATTTTCTTCATTCAGAGTTATTTTTTCCTCTGTATCGATTAAACCTCCTTCATCGGCGGTTTCACCAATGGGCAGAGATACGTCTTCCTCTGTATCGATGGACAGATTTGTTTCTTCTTCTGTATAGATTAAAATTTCTTCATCGTCAATTGCATCGATGGAGTGAGCTCTCTCTTCTTCCGTATCTATAAAACTTTCTCCATTGCTAATTTCATCGATAGACAGAGTTGTCTTTTCTTCCGTATCAATTAAACTTTCTCCATTGCTAATTTCATCGATGAACAGAGTTGTCTTTTCTTCCGTATCTATTAAACTTTCTTCATTGCTAATTTCATCGATGGACAGAGTTGTCTTTTCTTCTGTATCTATTAAACTTTCTTCGTCGAGGAGCATACGTATCTGTTCCTCTATCTTGTACATTCTCATTTCATCGATTTCATCGATGGACAGAGTTGTCTTTTCTTCTGTATCTATTAAACTTTCTTCATCAAGGAGCATACGTATCTGTTCCTCTATCTTGTATATTCTCATTTCATCGATTTCATCGATGATTTCATTGTCGAACTCTGATGCCAGTTCCTCGATATTGTCCAAACCTTTTTCATGGATGATTTCATTGTCGAACTCTGATGCCAGTTCCTCAATATTGTCCAAACTTATTTCATGGATGATTTCATTGTCGAACTCTGATGCTAGTTCCTCAATATTGTCCAAACTTATTTCATGTTGCCAGTTCCTCGATATTGTCCAAACTTATTTTATGGATGATTTCATTGTCGAACTCTGATGCCAGTTCCTCAATTTAAATTTTGATTTTAAGTATTTTTATTTGCTAGAAAATCGTGAAGAAACGCGCGTTTTTTTGTTGTTTTTACTTATTCGTTTGCAGAAAGTGCAAAGCGAAAAAATGAAAGATTATACCCACGTATAGATATATAATAAGCGCGAAGCGGCAGTATAACGTGTAGCACAGCAGAGCGTAAATAGCGAAGCGAGTCGTAGGTAGGAGTCGTAAGGCCGGGAACGGGGTAAGCGGAAGACGGAGGGTAAAGGGAAGGGGCGACGGAGTGAGCAGCCTGGGGTGGCGGTGGTACGGCACGCTGGGAGGGTATATATCGCGTGCGCGTCTCCCTCTATATCTACCCACGTAGTCGTGTACACTGACAGACCTTTCTAGCCCCGGTGCCGTGAAACGACACGGCGCGGATACCACACAAATTCACGAACGATCCCCCTCACTTTCACGTATTGGCTACGAGAATCGCTTAGGAACCGCTCCGTGAGTGACTCACGGAGTATATCCGTGAAAAATCATAGCTACGTTATGAGGTGCGTTCAGCGAGATTTTGTGTATAAAAGGCGAGCGGCCAATTAACAAAATTGTACGAGAAGAATAAATAACAGAATTTTTTGTAGGATTCTCATTACATAGTGCTACTGATAATGGAAATGTATCTTATTAGTTGTAAAAGTAATTGTTTAACCCTTTAACGTCTGAAATGACCATTTTTGGACAACATTTATAGCGATGAATTACACCAACTAAAAATTGTTTAAAAAACCTTTCAGATATAATAACTTACGTAAAATTTAATGTACTTTTCAAATCTGGGGTCAGAATTTTCAAAAATTTATTTAATAAAAAGTTATAAACAATTTTGTAAAAAAAAAAATATGAAATTTCGAGAAAAAAAATTTCGTTTAACTCAAATTTCAACACGAAAAGAAGGTTCGCTCGTGCGTCTCAAGCGTATAGATTTGGACAATGGCACGTATACTTTATTGTAAAATAGTTATAATTATGAGATTCAATATGGCGATCATAAATATAACTCCCGAAGACCTGTATGTCATGAAATGATTTCGACAATTTTTAACTCGATAACCATCAACTTTACGAGAAAAAGTTGTAGAATAAAAAGTGTTTAGAATTGATCAAAAAACATGCCTGATTTTTGTAATTCATCGCTAACTCGTAACAGGACATCTTAAACGAAAAATTGCAAAATGTACAAGTCTCAAAATTAGTCAAACAATACATTTGAATTTTTTCTGAATTTCTGAAACCTACTATCACTAATTTTCAAAGGTCTCTGTAATTCTTAAGAAAAAAGTAAAAACGCGTTAAATTTGAACCTTTGAAAATACACTGAAAGAAATTTGGGTGTGTTTAATTCCCACTCTAGTAGTATAGTGCCCCTGCCTTGTGTGGGGAGCATTAATCACTGTATTGGGACTAATATAGCTCAATTTTGGGTAGGATTTGCTCCCAAACATCTGGAGCGCAATAGACCCCAATTCAAATTAAACTGTGAATAGAAAAGATGTTATTAATGGGATAAAAATAATTATGAGTTTATACTTTTATTAAAAATAGTTACAAAAAGCTTATCATTATTATTATAAAACAAAGAAAAATTATTAATCTAAAAAAAGCATAAACATTGTCATCTATAATAATTTTTAGACCAAACGAACTTGATGCCATGTATTGACGAACGCCAAATATTGACGATTCTATCTTTTTCATAATTTCGATCGATTAAATATGCATGGTAATGATCGTCAAAGATTTCACGTTGAGTCTCGTAAAAAAACATGTAAAAACGCGACTTTTCAGCCCGCGCGGCTGCTGTTTCGGCGCGCAGTACCCCGCGCGGTGCCAAATCTCGCGTTTTTACTCGTTCGTCGCTGTATTTCACTGTGTAATAATCAATACCACTCTTTGAAAACTTGCATATCGATAGGAAACTTCCTCAGCTTTCGATAGAGACTAGTTTGAAATATCTTAAAAATGCCCTTTATGGCAGCTCCCACGTGCTTTTTAGCACGTGGGAGCGTTTAGCCTTCTTCAACTTTTTTTTGTCGATCTTTTCTTTTTTACCAACACTTCCATTCTCGATTAGTTTTTTATTTTTCTTTGGCACATCGAATTCGGCCCAATCACCACCGCTATTGCTCGCTGGGCAGTTAGGATCGTCCTTTTCCTTCAACAATTGTCTGGCAGTTTTCGTTTTGGTCGCCGCCGGCTCTTTGGATTTCTCCTTGACCTCCTCCAATTGGGCCTTCATCTCGTGCCATGGTGTAGCGTCTTCGGGCACGCGCTCGTTCGACGCTTTGGAACCTTTGGCTCGGGCGAAACGCATATTTTTTTTTCTTAAAACAAATAACAAAAGGATTTTTTAAAACTCGAATAACCTTCAAAACACGTTCACGTGCGGGCGGTCTAGCTACTGATTCAAGATACAACGAATGAAGTGACAGGCGAACTCATGCGCGGCGGACNTTATGTCTTGTTCTAACGAATCTTGTTGCAACAACAAATTTCAAAAGTTTCTTTCATTCCTGAACTTTTTAAGTATTAGTGGCTGAGTGGTTTACGCTAGGCAGTGTCGAGTGACTGCCAGCTCGCTTCTACACCTTTTTTACACCTTTTTCATAAAAAATACAGCGACCGAAATAAGTGTCAAAAAAACGTCCTCTTGGGACTTAATGGGTAAATGCATACGCACGTAATAAATTAACTAAATTTATCCTGTGTCAACAAAATGGGACTACCAGACATTTTTACGCTCCCCGTTTGAATCGGGTAACTCGAACTTGCTCGAATTTTTTCAAATTTTCTGGGTTAAGCAAAGATTTTCGATCGATTCAAAACATGAATTAGATTTCAGTTACATATTCAAGCCAGGAGGCCCAGATAACGTTTAGCTCGGTTTAAGGATTACAAGTGCGCGATACAATGCAAGAGTAACGAACGCTCCAAATGAAAAATTGCAACTATTTTTAGACTTTAGATATTCTTAATAATTAAACTTTTTATTTTCAAGTTTATTTATCCTTTTTTTTTTTTTTAATATAAATATAATCTTTTGAAAAGTGAGTTTTATAAATTTATATTAATCAGGAGAGGATATGCATTGATTAGATGGTAATATATGAAATGGATGGCTTGTTTATTTTAAAAATAGTTATATTTATTTATTATAAATTTCAATAATTTAATAGAAATTATTTTGAAAATTATACCACTTATCAAATATAGAATAATATACAATCAAAGGACAATATTTCAAAAAAACATAAAATATTATTCTTTCAACGACTCGTGGTCTTCTTCGTCGACGGGCAGAGTTGTCTGTTCTTCTGCATTCATCAAACTTTCTTCATTCAGAGTTATTTCTTCCTCTGTATCGATTAAACTTTCTCCATCTTCGGTTTCGCCGATGGGCAGAGTTGTCTGTTCCACGGCATTCATCAAACTTTCTTCATTCAGAGTTATTTCTTCCTCTGTATCGATTAAACTTTCTCNCTCATCAAATATACAATAATATACAATCAAAGGACAAAATTTCAAAAAAAAACATAAAATATCATTCTTTCAACGACTCATGGTCTTCGTCGTCGACGGGCAGAGTTGTCTGTTCCTCTGCATCCAGCAAACTTTCTTCATTCAGAGTTATTTCTTCCTCTGCATCGATTAAACTTTCTTCATCGTCGGTTTCACCGATGGGCAGAGTTGTCTGTTCCTCTGCATTCATCAAACTTTCTTCATTCAGAGTTATTTCTTCCTCTGCATCGATTAAACTTTCTTCATCGTCGGTTTCAACGATGGGCAGAGTTGTCTGTTCCTCTGCATTCATCAAACTTTTTTCATTCAGAGTTATTTCTTCCTCTGCATCGATTAAACTTTCTTCCTCGTCGGTTTCACCGCAGGGCAGAGTTTTCTGTTCCTCTGCATTCATCAAACTTTCTTCATTCAGAGTTATTTCTTCCTCTGTATCGGTGGACAGATTTGTTTCTTCTTCTGTATAGATTAAAATTTCTTTATCGTCAATTTCATCGATGTAGTGAGCTTTCTCTTCTTCCGTATCTATAAAACTTTCTCCATTGCTAATTTCATCGACGGACAGAGTTGTCTTTTCTTCCGTATCTATTAAACTTTCTTCATTGCTAATTTCATCGATGGACAGAGTTGTCTTTTCTTCTGTATCTTTTAAACTTTCTTCATCGAGGAGCATACGTAGCTGTTCCTCTATCTTGTATATTCTCATTTCATCGATTTCATCGATGGACAGAGTTGTCTTTTCTTCTGTATCTATTAAACTTTCTTCATCAAGGAGCATACGTATCTGTTCCTCTATCTTGTATATTCTCATTTCATCGATTTCATCGATGATTTCATTGTCGAACTCTGATGCCAGTTCCTCAATATAGTCCAAACTTTTTTCATTGATGATTTCATTGTCGAACTCTGATGCCAGTACCTCAATATTGTCCAAACTTTTTTCATTGATGATTTCATCGATGAACAGACGTGTCGATTCCTCCATCTTGATCAAACTTGGATGAGCACCGTTTTTAATCAGCATCCATATTAAGTACCTATTTCCCGAGTAGTAAGCTTGATGAAGAGCTTCAGTACAAGTTGTATAATGATCACTAGAGTAGTTATCCATCACTCTACGTAGTTGTATTTCGACACAGCTAACAGACACTGATAATTTCAGATAACTTTTATTAAAGATCGTAGGTGAGCGACGCAAGTTTATTCATTGGGTTTATCCTTCGATCCAACGATGGGGCCAGTATGTATTAGACGACCCTGCGGGCCCACCTCCAAATATCCATGACGTTTCTCGTTCCGAAGAAATCGAGTGTCAAAGATGATCCCAAAGTCGATGGTGATAGCAAGCCATCATCGCGTCGTACCACACCGGTGCATCATGTGGCCAAACAAAATCGTTACATAATGCCCGATATGATTCGTCTACTATTTGAGATCTACAATCGATACGACGTCAATTACACCGACGAATCTGGACTGTCGCATTTCCATGTGGCCTGTAGATATGGCTATGATGACGCCGTCGAAATATTCCTCGAGCTCGGTCAAGATCCTAATTGCCTCAGGCCAGAAACAAGAGATTCGCCACTACACTTGTATCTGATTGGTAATTCTTGCATGTGCTACACGGATNTTTTCTAAAAAGTATGAGTCTAACGTTGTCTATGCTTAGCCATCTGTACAGCATATTGTTAGACTTTCTAATCGTTTCCGAAAATTACTGCTACACTGCATAGCAACTATTTCAGTTCTTTGGAAAAATTATAGGTTATATACTAAGGTAGTAACGTATTTGCCCCTATTTTCAATCAGTTAGGCCCTAATTTCGATCAAATTTAAATCAATTTTTTATGTAGGATTGTAACTTGTTATCTGATTTTGAATAATGTATTTCTGTTAAAGATGTTCGATTCATTCAGCCAATTATGAAAAAGAATGTTCTTTCGTACAAATAAATTGTTAATATTAATTATTGATCGAATATAGAGACATGATTGAAAATAGGGGCATATACCTTATAGTCAGTACACTTTACTCATCAAGACGAAGTAGCATCAGTTGTAGGTAACTATTCTCTTTAAAAAAAAGTAATTTAAGTTATAAGTGATTGTGTTAGTGTTTGAGTTGAAACATGTTGAACCAGTCCAAAGAAATTTTTAATAATGGAAAACCATTAGAAATATTGAAGAGCTCGAAGAAAATATAAATTGGAAGATCGTAGGTGAGCGACGCAAGTTTATTCATTGGGTTTATCCTTCGATCCAACGATGGGGCCAGTATGTATTAGACGACCCTGCGGGCCCACCTCCAAATATCCATGACGTTTCTCGTTCCGAAGAAATCGTGTGTCAAAGATGATCCCAAAGTCGATGGTGATAGCAAGCCATCGTCGCGTCGCACCACACCGGTGCATCATGTGGCCAAACAAAATCGTTACATAATGCCCGATATGATTCGTCTACTATTTGAGATCTACAATCGATACGACGTCAATTACACCGACGAATCTGGACTGTCGCATTTCCATGTGGCCTGTAGATATGGCTATGATGACGCCGTCGAAATATTCCTCGAGCTCGGTCAAGATCCTAATTGCTTCAGGCCAGAAACAAGAGATTCGCCACTACACTTGTATATGATTGGTAATTCTTGCATGTGCTACTCGGATATAGGCGAACTGATGCTGAGGAAAAGTTCTGATCTTAATTTGGCCAACAAGGATGGATTGACATCTTTGCACTTGATAAGCAAGAAATACATTTCCGATGTGTCAAGGAATTCCTAACGTAGCGAAGTTGTTATTCGAGATCGCCGACGAAAAACAACAGACTCTGCAGGTTGATGCCCGTGACAAGTACGGTAACACACCATTGCACTTGGCTGTGCTTCACTGCAACAAGTACGTTACTGAATTGCTACTCAGAAGAGGCGCCGTACAGAACGCGGCCAACGACGAGGGATCCACACCTTTGCACGAATTTTACAAGAGAAACAATTTTGTTTATCATGAAAAGCGTACAATTGAGCTATTCTTCAAAATCTGCGACGAAGTGAATAAGTCGGTGCAGGTCGATACAAAGGACAAGTTGGGCCGGACACCCTTGCAGCTGGCTGTGTCGAATCTTTGGCCGGATTGCATTGATATTCTCTTTGAACATGGCGCAGATCTTCGCCGAGAGATATAAATCGCTTAAATTGGATATTTACTCCATTTACAGATTGAGACTAGCGTCCAGTTCTTTGGCCGTCGTCGAAAAAATTGAGAATAGAGGATATCAACTGAAGCGAAGTGACGCTTTGACGATCATGAAATTTTTCGCCGAGTACAAATTGTTCGAGAAGTCGTCAGATCTTGGAAAAAGTTGGTATGATGAAGAGAAGTTTATAAAAATAGGAAAAGAGATACGGATACGTCCGAGTCTGTCACTTGATGAAGTGGTTTGACTGCGACCTGAAGAGGTGGCAAAACTACTCACATATGAGGATTACTGGAAATTTGCTTGCTCGTTCCATGTGGATTGTCAGTTCTATAAGTATAAAAAACTAAGTCCGTTACATCTGAGCTGGGCCCTGGATCCTTTCTGGGAGCTGATACACAAACGACTGCCACTTGAACACAAACGCTTCCTAACTTTTGTTAAAAAATTGAAACGTCCTGATTTTGACAAAAAATACCAAAACTTCCTACTTTTTTTTTAAAATCCAAGTCTTCCTACCTTCTGTAAGACATTTGGATCTCCCTACTTTTTATAAGAGGCGTCGATATACAGTTAGATGACTTGATCGATTAATTGTAATTGATTCCATACGTATATCGATTCAATTTTAAAATTCTTGTGTACAAGAAATACATGCGATTGTAACGTCCCGGAAAGGGACTTTGATTTTTGTGAACAAAATGTTCACCTAGCCTTGGATATTTAGAGCTTTTCTCGAGCTCCGTCCATTGAGAGGACGAAGGCCGAGTGGTTGCGCTGAGACCGGCGACTCACGAATCGTTAAGTTGTGTAGGAACGAGGGTCACTTTCGTCCCGGCGAAACGATTGCTCGTTCACCGCCAGGGCAGCAGTGATGTCATTAGGAAAATGTATATTTATATTGCAATTATAATCAAGCAGTAGGTTTGAAGAGAAAAGAAGATCAGTTTTATACTTGAAGAGAGTCTTATTATTGACAAATCCGTTTACTTACATTGTTGAATATAAATCTGTACCGTGTCTGGGTGGAAACCTTGGCCAGGGCGGCTTGAAGAGAGGAAGAGAGAGCACTGGCACTAATCGGCAGCTGGAACACAAGTAGTTGGATGAGGCCTCGATGTCGCGATATTTATATCATTTTATTTATAGGCGCTTCAAGGCTTGTTAAAGGATCTGAGGTTTTTGAAATTTTCTTGCCTATATGAGGGCGACATTACACGATCCATTATAATGTTTATAGATCGAAAATTTAAATAAAATTAATACATAAAATAATAAAAATTCAAGTGAATTTATTTATTCAAATAATTAGATTTTAGTCTTCTAGTGTAATAAATCCGTTCATCATTCATGAACCAAATTACTGGTTAGTTTATCCGATTTACGAGTTTTTAATTGTTGTCCATTTTTATAATCATGCGTTGCTATAATAATCGCTTTTAAGTTTTCTAATAATATTTTTAATAATTTAAGTTTTTTCTCTGATGTACGACAAAATTAGAAAAATTTACAAGGTCTATCGTACGGGGAAAAAAGGCAGCTTTTTCTTTTTCAGTTTTTTTGTATTTTTTAGTATAAACAAGATAAATGGGAAACTTTCATGCTTATGGCAATAAAGGGTAACATTTCAGAGCAACTAGAAGTTGATAGTGTTATTTTTTGCAATGCAAAAAGTTAAGTCTTTCTCTTATAAAAATAACAACAAAAGATTTCGGTTCAACCTAAAATAACTTCTCATTATTATTATAATTGTTTGAAATTCTACATTTATAATTCTACATTCTTTAATTTGGTCTTTTTTACTTCGTTAATTCGAAAGTATAGCCTGTATTAAGTATTTCGAATTATTGAAGTTTTACTGTAAAGGTCAAGTTCAAAATTTTTTGAATAAACCTGTGGACGAGGTCCACGGATTTTCCTGAAATTTTGGTATGTTTAAGTGCATGGAAAAATAGTTCTGAAGACGGAATTTAGACTCTGGTATCGCTCGAAGTCTTCAGAATTCGCATGGATGTCTTTTTTCTATTTTTACCGATTCTCCAGATGTTTTTGACTAAAAAAATTTGAAAAAATTAACGAAGGTACATCTCATCAAAACAAACTAACTACTAATTTTTTCAGATTTTTCGAGGGCCTTCAGGGCCTCAAATGAAATAATTTTCAAAATTATTTACATTTTTTTTCTACATCTCTTTGTGAATTCAGACAGCTTCAAGTTTTTAATTTTAAGATGAAAGATGCCATAATCTATTATAATTTTACCAGAAAATGGCTGGGTAAAAACTGAGTGTTCATTCTTCTATAGGATATTCTGAGAGCTCGTTGGAAAATGAACTTTTTACCCAGCGAATCTTCATTTCAAATAAAAATTTACGTTTAATTTACAGCTGAATGAAAAAATTTAGGGCGTTATTCCCCTGCCAAGAGATGGATCCCCCAGATCTCGAATCGACGCGTTCGAAAAGTCTCTAGAGATTCAAGCGTGCTCTCGAATCTCCGCGCGTACTACACTCACGCACCATCTGTCAGACGAGGATCCGAACTAGTAGCTTTCTAGACTCGTATTATATTGCATCATGTGTTACATACAAATGTATAATGTCATGATGATGTGATGGTACTCACGTAGTCGGGGAGCGCAATTCAGTATTCGCCTAGCAGACGTCGGCAATGTGATTATCGCGCGTACGAATATTGTTTTAGAGTGAATCTTTGTACGCTACCTTGCAAGGTTGTGACATTGTCAAGTAAGTTATAACAATTCGTTTATCATTACCCAACTGTTACAATTAGAATTTTAATAATCCGTTCATATCCAACCCGAATGAAATAACTTTCATTTATGATTCTCTTCGTATATTAATTCTGCTTTATTACAAGCTCGATTTAATTATTAAGTATTAATAACGGTCGACACCTAATTTAACGTTGTGTTTCTCCATTAGCAAAATGTCATCGTCCCAAGTAATATCTCGAACTTTCGTGGCAGTCAGTCGTAGATTATTTCAATCATCTGCGCGATGCCTAGAGGCCAAAGCTCCCGAAACTGCTGCAAAAGCTACAGAACAAGCAGCAACACACAGACAGAATCCTTCGGTAGTTGGTAGGTGTATTAAATTAAACTTTTTTTCGTGCTGACGTTTCGCCACAACATCATATTTTATATTTTTCAGGACATCGCATGTATGCCCTATCGGATTTCGACAAATGGGTACTGGTTTGGATGAAGAAATTTCCAAAAGGAAAAGTTCCAGATAAAGTCCCGTAATGCATTTTTTTGACATTAAAACTAGGTCAAGAAATACTCTTTATTCATTTTATTTTTATTTTTACGATGCAGTGAACACGTGATTTACCAGACAAGAAGCAGAGCTCGCATAAAGGCAGCAAATTACTTGACTGGTATCTGTATCATAGGATGCTTTTTCGCTGTGTACACCGGAAGGAAGGCAGCAAAAAGTGGTGATTCCATTCAAAAGAGACGCGAGGAGTGGCACAAACAACTCAAAGAAGAACATGAGGCAGAAATGGCAGCAAAAAAAGCTAAACAATAATACTCATGTATCTATGTTGTTAAGTTTCAGTTGAACTCGATATTATTACAGTTTAAAGTAGTTTATATAATCAAGAGTAATAATGTAACTAATAATTGTGTAAATATTGTACCATGGACTTTCTTTTCAGTTATTTTTTAATAAATCAATTCTATTTACACACAATGATGCAATCAGCAGTTTTTTTTACATTCACTACAGTATTTGTTGTATTTACAATATATAATTCACTTATTAACCGTCAAGAAAAATAATAACAAGTACCATTAGGTGTCATGCACATAATTTCACGAAATAAGACTGACAATGCTAATCAAGCGATACCACTAATTCAATTGATGTCAATGATCTTGACTGAGTGAAATTTTGGTCATTTGATGGTCCTTTCAAATATTCATTATATCAAAAAGTATTTTACCACTGGAAACTAATTTTTTTCTGGTTTATAAAAGCCTCTGCATCTTTCACGATAAACTTCTACAGTCCTCTTCTTGATTACTTCTTCTGCATTCAGTTCTGATTGGAGTAAACGCAGAGTGCCTTGTTCATGACGAAGATTTTTCAATAAAACTGGATCATTCTCGCCACCGTTGTCTTTCTTCTCCTTCAAAGCTCTCACTCTTTCACTAACAGTGTTCAAACATTTTTTGATCGCTATGTCTCTTTGAGCATGGCCACTTTGTATTTCATGAAACAAATCCTTGCACCTGGTTTGTGGATCGACTTGGCCTTTGAATGATTCGGTTGGTATAGTGGTGTTCAATAGATAGATAATTTTGTCATCAAATTGTCTCATTTTACGCAACGAGTCCTGTAAAAAAAAATTGAATTAAAATGATTGTCAATCCTTTCAAATTAGTACAGATTTAAAGTAGGAGACAATTATTGCTCGACGCACGAATTAATGTCAAGTTTTCCCAATTAAAAATATCATAATACCGGTTTTTAAACCTTAGGTTATGTGATTTGCATTGTTGAGTGTAACTTTCGCGAAAACATTCGAAGCACTTCATTCGATGTGTATTAATAATCGTAAATAACATTCATCCGTCGAGATTAACAAACGATCGAATATTGAAAGAAGCTGTAGTTATGTTTACCTGAAACTCGAGAAAATCCACGCATTCCACGCTTGAGACAGTCGCCATTTTCGAACGCAGCAGAAAGACAATTGTACTCCGTAGACGATTACAAGCTAATATTATAACATTCACGAACGTTCCCTTCCACCATATAGAGTTCCAGATAGATATAGATACCGACCGTAACTCCACTTTCGAATGCTGCCTTGCTCGTTTATTCAAACACCTTTAAAACTGTTCGATGTTTATTTATTTATAGTGAATTATTATTATTATTATTATTATTTTATGGTGCATCTATCATTTTACCATGTGGACTCGTTGATCATAATTGATTTCTCACTTTTTACATCGAATAAAACTATATCAGATAAATTTTCGGTACAGTTGTCAATAAATAATTTTCAAAGCGTTGCACCATTATGCACGATTCCTTGCGCGCAAATCCTTATTACAAAATCAGCTGGAAAGCCAGCGCGCCTGTGAGTCGCTTGCAAACCGAGCTTCATATCAGTTATAGGCAGCAGTGCCAAGTTTGTTTTTGGCTCGAATAGCAGTAGAGCAGCGTGTAAGAGTGTAAACAGAAATCATACACTCAGGCGCTGCGCTGCTCCGCTGTGTACAGTGTACACACGCGCTCAAAAGTATACGCATGACACTACATACACACAGTGATGTGTCTTACTGCGTTACATATATTTTCTTACGCGCAAAATTATAATAAAAGTAGTCGCCGCCCGCAAAGTATATAAATCCGCGCGTGCCCTGCTTTGTCGACTCTCTCGTCTGCGGTGGTCACGCTTTCGGGTGGCAGCAGCAGCTGTGCCGTGTGCTCCGCGACATTCGCGCAGTATACGCAGAACTGTCAGTTCACAGCCGCAGTGGGGCCAGCAAAATAGTAATAGTAGTATAATAGTGTTCGCGCACACATACATAGAGGACAAAAAACATGTTTATTGTTCGGAAGATCATCGAGGCATAATAGCTATATAGCAGTTGTATATAGCGCCCCGCGCGTTTTTGTGAAAGCAATATTATTAGAGCTCTCCTGCGCGTGTGGAGCAGAGCAGAGACGAGAAACAATAATACATATATTAGCCGAGTTCCGATCGATTCGTCGCGCAGTGCGTGCCGAGGAGAGCCGCGAGAATCAACTGCGTGTGTATCATCATTATTATTATTGTAATATAAAACTACGTCTCGCGAACGTATATAGTGCGAAAATTACGAGTATATATAGGTAACGCGGGGACCTCGTGCTGCTGCTGCTGCTGCTGTCGCTGGTGATGATGATCCAGGCCATTTGACAGGTCCGCGAAATCGATTTATAACATCAACAACAGTTGCCTGTGCTCAGGCGGGCGGCCTACAATAAAATATCGTAGGTACATCTCGTAATAAACAACGCAGCAGCAGTACTGTGCAGTTGTCCTCGTCTCCGACGACTCCGAACTTCTCTGCAACTGTTGTGCTGCAGCAGGTGAGTGTCTGCTCCTTTCTTCTCTCTTCTCTTTTGGCCTTTCCTTTCTTGTCCGGCAAACGCAAAGTAGCATTAGTTGATATAATACGGCGCATTTAAGACTATCCGCCAATTGGCCCAGTAGTCGTCGCGTCGCGAGGTGAATGCACTACATTCGTGTTGTGCGTGTAATGCTGATGCTGTCGCTGCTGCTGCCGCTGCTGTTGACGTGCAGTTGCGAGTTCGCATTGTTTCGCTGGCTCTCTCGTACTCGTCGATTATTTTATATTTATAATACGTCAGTGAGCGAGTCGTGAGGTTATCGCTCGTGTTGCTCTTTCAACTGCAGTAAAAGCAGCAAGCAGCAGCAGCGATCGGTCAACAGCAGCAGCAGCAGCAGCAGCAGCACAAAGAGAGTGAGATCCGCTGTTGCTACTGCTGCTCGTTATATATCTTTGACATGATGCATCGATGCATCATTTATTTTATCTGCAAAGAAAAATTCAACGTAGTCGAGTACGGACGATATGTGTCATTACTATATACCAGGAAAAAAATCTGCGATACTCTTTTCCATGGATAGAGACCAACAGCAGCTCGTATAATTTTCAGAATTTGCAATGCTCTTTTTTTCTTCTCGTTCTCGCTCTAAGCATAATATAATCTCTGTATATATACTTATCTCGAAAGAGATTCTTTTTTTAATCCGAACATTCGTGATCATTCTCTCTATACTCCGAGCACAGAGTCGCAGTCGGTTTTTGCAGCAAACTCGACTGCATTGCAGCAGCATCGAGTGAAAACGAGTTATATACATTAAAACGGATCGCTCGGTTGACGCGAGGCAGCAGCAGTAGCAGCAAAATTTTCCATAATATAGTACTTCCATATAGGCACCGTAGTGAATATAGTGGCAGTGCAAACGAAAATTTATCAGGCGTATCCTTACGACTCGCATCTACATCGTCGTGTGTATAATAAGTTTGTTTTATTGCAAAAATAATAACAATAACAACGACAACTATAATAAATAAAAAAGGCAGCCGAAACACGTTTGCTGCCGCTGCTGCTGCTGTTGTCATTCTTGTCCAGTGTGTCGAGCGCATATTAAGGATGCGACCTTGAAATTTCGTGTGCGTGTGTGCGTGTCAGCTCTATTGCGCTTATTTATGAAAGGGATCCGTGAATTTTAATTAAAAGTCTCATGCAGTACGCTCGTTTGTTTACTAGTAGTTGCAATACAAAAAATCAAATTATCCTCAATAACATCCGAGCCTTGTTGACAATTCGCAGGAGACGTATGATAGACGTTACGAGCAAAAAATATTATAATCAGTAAGGAAGAGCCTCTTGGTATATAGCCTCGCGAGAGGCTTATAGTATCCAACTTTTAACTTTCGACACTGCCCGACCGCGTGTGCTGTAGTGTGTAGTGTAGTGCGTGCTTTGGTCAAGTTGAGCGAGCAGTGCCGCCGCCGCTCGTCCATACCGATCGCGCTGAATATTGCATGGCTCGGCAGCGAAGCTCTCTCTTTTTTCGCGCTACGAGCAGCAGCAGCAGCAGTCAGATCTTGCGTGTGGTTTCATACGTACACTTACATTACGCTCGAATTTGCGCAATGCGGCCTTTAATAATAATAAACTCCATCCGCGCGCGAACGAGCAATTATACTACTACGTTCTGCAATGCGATCGCGGCACGCGCGCGAAAAAAAAAGTCCCAGAGACTACTGGCTACTATTATATAGAGCCTAGCTAAAGGCCTATCTTTATCGGAAATTCGTTCACGGGACTTTTTCATATTATTTTTAATATTCAGCATTATCGTTATTATACGAGATGTCGCGCGCAAGATGACTGTGCGCGTAGCGAGTCGATGCAGCAGCGGCGGCGGCAGCGCTCGTTTTTGTTATTATATCGCTAATTTCGTATTCATTTGGCATATAATGGGCTGCCGGAGAAGAGGGAGGGAGGAAGGTGTATATGACACGCTGCTTGCAAGCGACGCGCGCGCGCGCTATGAGAGAGGATTTTTTGCTTTAATCGACGCGCCGATCGCCATCGCCAAGATGTGTTTTTCAATCGTCTCTTCTCTCACTCTCTCATCTTTTAACTCTGGTAATAAAAAAAAAAACTCGTTGCCGAGCGAGCCGATCGGTGCACATCTAGGCACGTGCGCAACACGCATTATTCATCCTTAATGCAGCCGCTTATACGAATTTCAAATCGTCTAATTCATTTAACCGTTTTCGGTCTCTGTTACTAAATTGTTTTTAATTTTTGGATAATTTTGGAAAGCATTACAGTCAAGTTCAAGTGTCGTAATTGCGTTTGCTCTCCGATGCGTAAAATAATGATTAAAAGAAAGACTTGAGAAGAAACAAAAGAGTCTTTTTCCTCGTTCAACATGTTGCAACGTTGAAGGATAATCGAAATTATTCTTGCAAACCTTAAGATCTTTAATAATACTTGATATATTCTCTGAATTTAAATGACCCTCGCTATTTTTACGTGAGTTGGTTGGCAAGTCCTGTAAATCGTTTGGAAATCGAGACTGCTATTCTCGAAACAAAACTTAAACTTTATTTACCTTAACTCTAATTAACGTAAATTTAACTTCTTTACTCAATTTATTATTATCATAATTTTCTCTCTTACACTTTGTAAAATTGAGGCAAACTCGCAAATGAATAATAATATTGCGAGAAGTTTCAAAAAAATATAAACACTCACGATGAGACCAAATTAATTCTATAAATATTTATCAATTTTTTTCTTCATAATATACAAGATTGATACTCGAATGAAAAGCTTTTGTCATCCACACTTTGATGTGAAATATATTTCAGGCGAGCCTTGAAGGTGATAAATAAGAACTTGATGCAGATCTGACAAAACGATTCAAGATGGTCCAAGAAAATGTGACCAATGGTCAAGTGGCTTTGATTGGGAATGGGTAAGTTTCAAACAGTAATTAATTTAAGGTTAATATTTATTTACTGGTTGCAATTTACTGCCTTATCGACAATACCTATTTTTCGTTTCTTTGAATCGTTTGATAGTTCAGAGGATTTAAACCAAATTTATCGAAGCCCTATGCACCCTGTCAAACGTTTTAAAAGATATGTAAGTTGCAGTCAGTATAAAGGATCCTTGAATACATAAAAAAAAGTTGAATCGATGCTTCACGTGTGTATCAGATTCATACATATTATGATTTTTCTTACACTTCAAGCTGCATTATGTACACAATGCAGTGCGCATACTATTTAATTTCCAAATCTCTCGCGTTATTTTATATCATAAAAAAATCATAATATTGTTTGAAAACAATATATTTTGGGCATGCAAGTATCTCTTATCACAAAGTCGATAAAATCGATAAAGATCGATGAGAAATTTCTTTCGATCGCTTAGTCATTTTTATGAATAATGAAAAACGTCAAATACATAAGATATAGTTAATTTAATACAGATTTTTCTTGCAAATAAATACAATTTTTAACGCGTTTATTCTATATACATTATCAAATTAATTAATTTACAACGTAATCCGATTAGCCGAGGCGTCTTCGAATCGCGTCAATACTTCATACGTAAGTTTATGAAAAAGGTACAAAGCGAGCATATTCGCGTTAAATTTTAATCACGACGTCCGCTCGGGTCAGCTGCTCGGTTGAATGTACTTTTGTGCGCCATTCTCGACGCGAAAAATTTCCTACGAAACCTTCCGTCGAGAACTGGTTTTTCATCGCCCACCTTCGAAGGTACTCGAAACTGAACGGCTCTCTCGTTCGCACGCTTATGGGCTTTTTTCCAAATAGATTTATTTCGAGATCGTTCCATTGTTGAAATATTTTTTCAAAATTCATATTTGTGTCTTTGTAAACAACTAATATATAAGAGTAAACTCGCACAATAAGATAATCATCTTTCAATTGAGGTAAACGTGTGAAGATTACCGGTGCAGTAAACAAGCAATTTATCAATTTGTACCGAGACATATTTGTTCATTAAATCCGAGGTGCAAATGAAAGTTCAGTAGTTTAGTAGAGTATAATTTTTTTTTCTTTCATTTCTTTCGAGGAATATATATTTTAACGAGCAAATACACATCTATAACGATAAAAAATAATATCGATTAAGATGTCCGAATTAACGATAAGTAGAGAAATATCAAAGAAATCAGTGTTAACCAATATTCTTGCTTAATAAGATTAGATAATTAAAAAAAAAGAAATAGCATCTGATAACGGAAGTAAATGCTTTACATTTTCTCTCTTTTACAAAGCACAGTTGTTAAAAAAAGAAAGGAAAGAAAGAAAGAAAAAAAATTAATCAAACGAATAAACAACGATGACTGTCAATAACGCGCAGATATATCGTTAGAAAATTTGTATCTCGCGCGAAACAAAGAAAGTCGGATAAAATTGCATCACTCTTGACCTCGATAAAAATCCCAAATAATGTAATCTAGTTTGGCCGTTTGGTCTCATTCGATAAAAAAAAAAAAGAAAAAAAAGGGAAGATGCGACTTTTCCGTGATTCAGTAGCAGCTAGCACGACGACGCGATTCAAACAGAAAGCGGCGGCTGGCAAAGAATGGAAAATTGCTATTAGCCCGCGCGATGCTCATCGCGAAAGATGATGATAAAAGCGTGCGCGCGCGCGTACTCAAGACAATGGCCGCGTTTCCCGATTCCCTCTGCCACACGCACACACAGACACATTATACACACATGTGGGGGCCTATCGCGGATAAATAATTACACTTGAGTCTCTTTGGTTTTGATGTATTACGTACGTATATGTGTGTATGCGACGACGACGACGACGACGACGGTCACTCGCGCAGGCACTTGGCACACATAAATTTTATCGGGGCGAACTTTATTGTACGCTAACGCTGCTGGCCGAATCGTCGACATTTCGACTTCGAACTTGTGCTGTCTCGTATACTCGCGTCGCGTTACGACTTTCGGGAGATCCGAGGCAGACACACACACGCATTTGACATCGCATAGTAGAAGCCGCGTTAGTAGTAACATCAGCAGCACTAGTAGCAGTAGTAGTAGTAGTAGTAGTAGTAGTTTGTCAGTAGTAGCGACGATCGACCGACGATCATCGCTTCCTAGTCCATCAGTATCAGAGTGACTATGCGAGCGCGAGACACGGCTAATTTAATACGGTGACGGTGGCAACTTCTCCTATAATCCGGGACACAGTATTTGACACGAAAAATAAGAAAAAAAAACAATAAAAAAAGGAGACACTCGATCCGTGGCAGCAGCGAAATTATGTGAGCTTCCTCGGCGCGCAGTTGTCACACAAATCTATGAAATGTAACGTGGTTGTAATTTGGTGCAAGTGATAAGAATAGTCAAAGCGAAGTGAAAAATTCGATTAAATAAAATTTTGTGCTCTTCCGAGAGGCTCGATGTTTTTCACTTTCCAAGTATTTTTTTTTCAACACAGTGAAAATACTTCCACGCTCTATCGTCGTCAGTGAATAATTTACTCGAATCGATAAGACATGCAATTGTTTTGAGTCATGAAAAAACATATTGGACAAGTGACCAAACTTTAGCCAGTAAATTTTCTTTAAAGCTCCGAATATTTCTTACCGTTATTTTTTGAGAGCTTTTCGAAGCTGTCACATTTGCTTCGCTTTGAAAATAACTTGTCCGAATTTCTTTTTAACCATTTGCAATTCATGGATCAAAGTGTCACCGTCTTTACAAACCCAATTTCTAAATAAAAATCTTTTCAGGAACTTAGATTTTCGTTAGGAACAAAAAAGCTCGGCTATCTAAATAAATAAAAGCGCCTACGAAATATAATTGTGATAAGAGAGAACACTTGCATACTCAAAGGGAAAGGAAAAAATGAGGCTCGATAGACCCAGTCTTTGTGTAGACGACGATAACAATGCGATCATCTCGGACTCCAGAAAGAGTTCGGTGGTCCGATTACAGATCGTTCCAGCCAAGCCGAAGACCATCACGCATCTGCCCAAGCGACCACCTGTTGATCTGGCGTTCACAGACCTGACCTACACGGTGCGCGAGGGAAGAAAGAGCAGTGAGTATAATTTTTCGCTCTTTGAAATAATATAATTGTTTATTAATTCCGAAGAAACAAAAAAAAAAAAAAAAGAAAATAACATCGATAACGAGTGTGCGCGGTAACGAGACACGTGCAAAAATCGTTCTAGCAGTTCTGTTTTCCGATTCTTCGATCGCAACAGGAGTATACGCGTTCGATAGCTCTCATCGCTTCTCTCGCGAATAACAAAATTTTTCCATGAAAAAGAAGTTTTAAACATTCTATATATATTACTGATATACGCAAGTAGCCGCCGTCGACACTTCGCACTTATCTGCGTCAATTAGTTTTTTTTTCTTCGTTACACATTTAAGAAATTGTCGCGTTTTGTATTAATAAATAATTGCTACGTCACGGCATTCGTAGAATCACATAAGAGCATGTGCTTGTGTAGCCAAATTGATACTCTCTCGCGCTTGATTTTCGAGTTTCTTCGAGCGGCAGCGCAAGTCGTCGTCGTCTAGTTTTGTATTTTGCGGTGTGTTTTTTTTCCAGCGATTTTGCATTACGTGAAATCGCTTTGATTTTTTTACACGCGCGCGTAAAAATTGCGCGCGTGTCTGTGTGTGTGTGGCATAAGAGCCTGTTGATCGGAAGTTTACTTTACATCGGGATTCGCGATCATTATCTTCTATTTGTATGCAAATTTGACGAAATTTTCATTAGAAGCCCTCGATCATTTCAAGCTTATTTTCAATGGGATATGTTTCATGTTTTTTTTTCAATTGCTCACGAGTACAATTGCATAAAATAATTAATCTTTATTGTTCCAACACTATTGTTAAAATTGAATGATACTTAATTCTTTAATCATCTCGAGGGAAAGAATCGTTTGTATTATAACAAACAACGAAGAGATATCAGTAATTGTGACGCAGATTTGAAATTTTTTAAAAAAATATTTACAAGATCTATCGATACTTTTCAGACGTCAAAACCATATTAAAATGTGTCAGCGGCAGATTGAGATCTGGCGAGCTAACCGCCATCATGGGCCCATCAGGAGCTGGAAAATCAACACTTCTGAATATCCTTACCGGATACAAGTGAGTTACATTTCGGTATACTATTTTATTCGGTTCTTGACGATGGTCGCGATTTCATTAAAAAAATAAGTTCGTGACGCGAATCACCCTTGAAAACTTGAGGTTGAATTATGAAATTTCCGAGCACGTCTCTGATGTGCACGTATATTTGTAATGTTAGGTTTGTTCATATGTACAATACAAGTCACACTAAGCGATGTTCGCGGACTTATGATATCCACAATCATTTATATGCTCAAGGATATGACTGTCGTAATGAGATCGTCTGCTGATTGTCAGCTCGAAGTTTTCAAAAGAAGATCTGTCATAAAAAACGACTCGATGATGAACTTTGACGACGCTTGATTATTTTATTTCGTATAAACAGTAATTTTTAACTCGTTATCGCTGTACGATTTTTTAAATTAATTATGTCACGATTACTAAATAATTGTTAGATTACTTCAAATGATATTCAGGAGATGAGTTTTTGCGAGAATCAAGTTTTAGGCTTTCAGGAAAATGCTATTGCCTCGGTTTAACTAATTGATGTATTACTAGCCATTGAATCGTCAATAATTTAATTTCACATTTTTTTGAGCTACTCATATTTTTCGTGTGCCATCATCCGTGTACACAGCGCAACTCACGCGTCGAAAATTTTAATGCAATCGATTACTCTTCAAGTAGCCGAAAGATTTTAAATTAAAAATTAATGCAGTCGATATTGTATAAGATCATTCGCTTAGGAGCGATAATGCATTTTATAGATGCAACGCCAAGAAATAACATCAAAGATTCTCTTAAAATGTAAGATAGTGGATTAGTTTTTTTATTTTTTTTTTATTTAGTCTATTAAACATCGAGGTAAAAATCAAATTAATTGTAAATTATACGGTTGACTTTTTGAGGCGAACATTGTAAGTTTATTAATATTTACTAACATTTAGAAAATTTGATCTTGAACTCTGTTGATTAAAATAGAATGTAGAACGTTATCTAATTTTTTTTATCATATTTTGTTAAAAGTTGTGCTGTCTATAAAATTATTAATGATATAATCATTGTTACATAAATATTCAATTCCTATACTATTTGGAAAGCTAACGTTTAACTAGACTTTTTTATATACATTTGACTAAAATTAAAGAATAATTAATCAATTTTTTTTTAGGACTACCGGTATGGAAGGCAGCATAACCATGAACGGCCACGAAAGGAATTTGAGTGCCTTCAGAAAATTATCGGCCTACATAATGCAGGACAATCAGCTTCATGGTAATCTCACCGTACAAGAAGCGATGAAAGTCGCGGCCAGCCTCAAACTCAGTCGTCACGTCGATGAACAAGAAAAAGAGGAAGTGGTAAGAAGTCGTCGTCGTCGTGCAATTGACACATTATGAAATTTTCCTAAATTTTATCCTCGACCGACGGAGGAGAGACACATTACATAGCGCGTTTAAAAATGAGTAAATTGAGATCTCATTTTGAATAAGTAATTGTTACGAATACTCTTTTTGCCATTAAAGTTTATAAAAAAGCTTTCGCCTCTAATGACTCAAGTTGGGATCGAGGAATTTTTAAACAACATTTATCACGCTGCGATCCAATGCCTATTACGATCTTTATTTAGAACTTTTTGTTATTCGCGTGCGCGCTGCTGCATTGTAAAATCTCAAGGCGGTCTCTCTCTCTCTCTCTCTCTCTCTCTCTATCGAAAGGTGGATATAAAAACGATTAACAGTTTTTTTTTCCTTTTCATCATCCATTTTAGATTCAAGAAATTCTCGACACACTCGGCTTGGCTGATCACCGTAAAACCATGACTTTTAACCTCAGCGGAGGTCAGAAGAAGCGACTATCTATTGCCTTGGAATTAGTCAATAATCCACCCATTATGTTTTTCGACGAACCAACCAGGTAAATTGCAACGTACGAATTTCCCAACTGTAATGATGAATTGCCGCGTGCACAGCTCGTGCGCATCATATCCTATGGCATTGGCTTTATCGTTTACAAATGACCACCGAACGGAGATTAAACGATTCTCGAACGAAAGTTTTTCTAGCTGGAAAATTTGCTCTGGACAAAGGCATTGTAATCCAGATGATACGAAAATTAAATGGAAAAAATAATTCGTATCTGTCACGATTAAAAGGAAACCAAATTCGATCGAGAAACGACTAAAAAACCGACGGTCCCCGTGCGAGCTCTCTGCGCATAATCGCGCGTGTATGCATGCGGTATGACGTCAGTGTTTTTAGCGCTGGTTCTCAACCTCTAGCCGATCTCTCGCGCGCGTGAAGAGAGCATTTATATAGGAGGCGAATTTCCTATACCGTTTGTAATTTTTATTGAAGAATCGACTGAAGAATCGCAACTGAAATTCCGGAAATGCGCGCGCTTACTCTTTGCGCGTTTAAATGATGCATAAAACCAGTATGTCAACTTGTGCGTTTTAATTCCAAAGATTATTATTTCCTATTGATCAGAGATGAAATGTAAACAAAAGTATAGTCGGTTTTTTAATACTTTTTTTACCGTTTAATTATTGTCAATGATGTGTTAGATGAATTTGCAAATGAAACAAAATCAATTGCTCCAAAGAAAAATGAAAAATTTTGATTTTTGTGCTGAATAATTTACATTTCTCTATTGTCTCTTTTTATAGCGGTCTGGACTCGTCATCCTGCTTCCAATGTATCTCCTTGCTAAAAACTTTGGCGCGCGGAGGTCGCACAATAATCTGCACCATTCATCAGCCGAGTGCTCGTCTGTTTGAAATGTTTGATGCTCTCTACACTCTTGCCGAAGGTCAATGCGTCTATCAGGGCTCCACCTCGCAATTAGTTCCTTTCCTGTCTTCTCTCGGCTTGAACTGCCCCAGCTATCATAATCCGGCTTCGTTCAGTGAGTAAACTTTTTTCTTCGATCGTCTATGATCCGTCGACTTATTAAAAATCCAAATCCTTTGCAGTAATCGAAGTCTCGTGCGGCGAATACGGGGACAACATCAAAAACTTGGTGAACGCCATTCGCAATGGTAAATCCGATGTTCGCGAGGGCTACCCCTTCCCGGAAAAGGAACAGCTGAATAATGCGGACATCAAAGAGCTCGAAAATGGAACCATAGAAGGTACCAATGTCAATGCAGTCAAAGACAAGAATGACGCCAGTTGCATCGAGGAGAAGTTTTGCGATGTCAAATCGAATGAAAAGAACAATGGAACCATCATGAACGCCTTTGCTACCAATGACATCGTTAAACAAAGTAGTAAGTCACGGAAGATATTTAAAAATTTTCATATTTAATTATCCTCGTGTATAAAAATATTACTTATCACTTAAACAGATGATGTAGCCATCACTTTGGAAGCCGATAGCAAAGATTTCGTAACTGACTCTCTGTTAGAAGACAGTCTTGAGGGTGTTCCAGAACGTTATCCCACCTCGGAATTGGCTCAGTTTTGGATAGTATTAAAAAGAACTCTTCTTTTTAGCAGACGTGATTGGGTACGCTAATCATTGTCGATATCAGCCGGTAAAGATCGATTTTCGTTTAAAATTACAATTTCTTTTTTTTTCTAGACGTTGATGTATCTTCGATTGTTCGCTCACTTATTGGTGGGATTTTTAATTAGTGCATTATATTACGACATTGGCAACGATGCTAGTAAAGTCCTCAGTAATCTTGGATTTTTGTTCTTCAACATGTTGTTCCTCATGTACACATCTATGACAATAACAATTCTATCATGTAAGATTCATTAATAAGAAAAATGGTGAAGTTTGGCTGCTAATGATTAAACAATATATATTTTTATTTCAGTCCCGTTGGAGATGCCAGTTCTACTGAAAGAAAACTTTAACAGATGGTACTCTTTAAAATCGTATTATCTGGCTATAACAGTCTCGGATATTCCATTTCAGGTATCTAATTTTTATCATCGTTTTTAAGTTCATTTGTTTTCATTATACTAATTGCAATCTTTCTTTCCAGGCAATATTTTGCATCATGTACGTGTCAATTGTATACTTTTTAACTAGCCAGCCAGCGGAACTGTGCCGCTTCAGTATGTTCTTGGGCACTTGCCTGCTGATTTCGTTCGTTGCTCAATCCGTCGGGCTGGTAGTCGGTGCCGCCATGAACGTACAGAACGGCGTGTTTTTGGCCCCTGTTATGTCAGTGCCATTCTTACTGTTCTCTGGCTTCTTTGTTAGCTTCGATGCAATTCCCGTATATTTGAGATGGATCACGTATCTGAGTTATATTCGTTATGGATTCGAGGGCACAGCTCTGGCTACCTATTCGTTTAATCGTACTAAACTTCTCTGCACATCGGTAACTACAATTTTTTAATTTTTTTAAAATCATTTTTAGTTCATATTGGTTCACGCATTTACCATTTAATTATAATTTTAGGAATATTGTCATCTCAAACGTCCTGAGACAGTCTTAGAGGAATTGGACATGACGAAAGCAGATTTCACACTCGATGTTCTTGCCCTTCTACTGATTTTCGTCGTACTTCGAATAACCGCTTACCTGTTCCTCAGATGGAAACTCAAATCATCGCGGTAAATCATCAAGTTCGTTTAGATATTCAATGAAAGGAGTGAAAATTCATTAAAAATGTAGGCCTTGAAGGATAATTGTCACCGTTCGGTGGATTTTTACTGTTTTTTTTTTCGAAATACATAAAGCTCTCTGTTCTTTTTACTCAAAATATATGCTATCAATGAGAGCAAACGAATATTTTTCCATATAAAAACTTATACATACTATATTTATTCATTAGTATTTTCATGGGTAATCGAAGGGTATGACTCTATGTTTTAGTGGTAAAGATAACGGAAATGTATCTAATGGAATCAATTTTCTTTTTTTTTTATATAAAAAAATTATTATACTTTTTTAGAATAATTTACATTTTCTCTGGATATGTCTTATACCATATATTAATGATTCAGGGTACTACTTTGTTCATGATTTTTATTATAATCCACGTGATATTTTATTCAAATGACAAATTTTTTCATGAAAATTTGCAAAAGAACAACGAAATAGCATATACATTCTTTATTGTGTAGTACAACTAATGGTTATTTATTATGAATATTATATTATTGTTTGCAATTGAAAAAACAAGATTTTTATATGATTTTTACATGCACGAATTCGTTCGTAGAAAACGAAATTGAACAATATGAATTTCTGTCCTCAAATGGCTGTGAGAACGTGAAAACAAAACTTCGAAATTGTTGTACATTTTCAATGATTAATCTACTAACGGCTGGTATGAAAAAATGATGCAACTTATTTTGAACTGAGTCTTTTCTTTTTAAAACGTTAAAAAGAAAATTAGAAAATGTGCCAGCCTGGCTGCCTGTCGATAAACAATAAATTAGTTATGCTCATTGCCACTGCGCGATTTCTTGCCTGGCCAATTATTGAAAACGTAAAACCAAATATTAAAAAAAAATACGATATAGGCGAGCAAAACTCATAATACAAATTTGAATGTTACAGCGTGTATTTTTCAAACGTTATTTGTATGTAGATATGTAAGTGTAAAAAAATTTTAATGTATAAATCCTAAGTGCGCATCAGAATGCGAGAACAGAAATTTAATAAAAAAAAACTTCATGAACATCGGCGCTAAAATGACCTCTGCTCATTACTAACTCTATTTTATACAGATTTTTCATATTGATAACAGCGCAAGGCGTTTTGTAGAAATTTTGTAAAAACTATATATTTATTATACAAATAAAAAAGTTTTAAAAAATATGCTCCATTTTTATTAATCAGAAGGATACATTACTAATTACAAGATTAATTTTTTTAACTTGATTCAATAAAATTATTCGTATTTATTGTGAATATCTAATTATTTTCTCTTTCTCAAATAAATTACTGATACAGATGATGAGTTATTTTTAATAAAATCAACGTATTTTTTTAGTCACCTTACGAATCACAAGAGAATAAGAATGAGGAAAGTAAAGAAAAAAAAATTACACATTATTGTAGTTATGGTATTGAACTACATAATTTAATGATTCTTATCGAGGATTATCTTACTCAAATTTTAATTTCAATTTTATCAATCAGTCTGCTTCATTCACTCAAGTTGTACTTCGGAGACGTTCTAAAAACCCAGTTACGAGCAGAAAAAAAACCAATTTAAATAATCGTGAATGAATTAATAAGTAAAATAAAAAGCGCAAGTCGAGTCAATCTCTCGACGATTGCAGATTCCAATGAAAAAGCACAAGGCCGAGCTGGAGAAAAGTCGAAACGCGAAGTTAATAATTAATAATTTCTGCGGACATCTGCGTCATAATTGTGGTAGAGTTAACCTCGGACCTATTTTGATTGTATGCTTCGATTGAAATTTGACGAATGTAGTTTATTTTTTGTATGACATCTCAACTTTGAGCAATTACAATAACTTTTTGCCCGTTTGTTGACACACACACACACACACACACACACACACGTGTACACAAGGACGAGAATTTGATAAACTACTGAAAGAGAGATATAGGAGCGTCGAACAATTTTGCAGTCTACCCGTTTATGACTCGTTATTTTGCTGTAATGTAAATTACGTGTGTACTTCGTAAAATAATCTGAGACGAAATGAAATCTGGAGACTTGAGTAATTGATAAAAAGAGCTGAATTTTACATTAGAAATAATGATAAAACATTGGATCAATTTTTTTTTCGACACATCAGAATAGTCCCTCAATTTTCTCGAGAATTTTTCAGCTTTCGTATACTTGTTTTTCAAATGTTTGTAATTCACGTATTTTACAGAAACTATAACGATTTTATAGCTGAACCATCAGAGCCTTTGATTCGACTAAAGATCTATTAATGTAATTTTATAAATTTTTGAAGGTATTATGTCACACAATATAATACATGTGGAATTTTTAATCTATAGACAATAAGAAAAATAAAAAAAGAGTAATTAAAAAATCATTGACCATGAAAGCGATTCTTCCGATACGATCTTCGCAAGTCGCGGCGTAGCGCGCGTGGCATCGGTAATAACATCCTTATCCTAACGCGTGGATCTTTACATTCTCTAAAAAATCTAAAAATACCATATTCAACAAAGAGTGAAAGCTTTCCTTCGTCGATACACATAGTATACTTTCGCTGCTGCAGATCGTCGATGTCTTTTTTTTTTCGTCCGTTTATAATCAGCACCGCGTCGTGTCGAGGCTGTGCTGCTGTACGTTTATATACGATGGCGTACGTTTACTTACGCACCGCGTACACGAGCTTATCACCGCGACGATTCTCCCAGGCACTATATATAATAGCCGGCGCAAAGAACGAGACTCGCTCGTCCGATGTAGGGCGCGCGGAGCTCTTTCTCTCTCTCGCGCTGACTATCTCTATCTTTTCTTTCTCTCGGCGCGCCGAGAGACTCTAGTAGTAGTAGTAGTAGTAGCAGTTATAATAAAATACAGAAAGCTGCGTGTATCGCGCCCACACGCCACCGCTGACAGATCGCAGCTTTTGTAGCTCGAGTCTTGATTTTGAGCAAGGTGCGCGCGTGCGATCGGTTGAAAATTGGCAATGAAGAGAAGAAGCTCTACTATCGACGTGATAAGATCGTGACGTTTTACCAATGGTCAACTGGTTGTGAGCTTTGAAGAACAATTTTTTTTTTTACGGATCGCGCGGATCCGCCGAGGTATGCGGTAAGTTTGTAAATCTTTCAATCGCTCATTTCTCACTTACGCTGTATTTACATCGAAATAAATATGCCATAATGCCATTAAACATTGAGAAAAAAACTTCGGTTCAGATGTAATTTGAAATTCAATGGAATCGATTTAGTATCGATTACACGCGATATCGCTCGAAAATATAGGATAGGCACATCTGTGAATTCGACCGATACTCAAAAAAAAACGTATCACGCGTGCAGTACATCTCTCATTAAGACACATCTCGATGTACAAAAACATCTCTCTAGAGATGTTCTTTTTTTTCGTTGGTTATCCAAGAAATTAAAATTTCAACTACTACGTGCTTTTTGCGCCGATGCTTTGTATGCACGTGTGCAGTGTTTTTGAGCAATTTTGCGATACATCATTTATACAAGTTTTTTGAAAAGCTTTTAATTGAGTCAGATCTTTGTAAGCGACATCGAGTGTCTGTAAATGTGCTGCGGAGTTCACGTAAAAATTAATATAATGAGATGTTTGCACGACTTCGAAATGAGATCCACAGATAAAAGATAGTATGTTGTACTAATCAACCCGATAAATATTTAGATACTATAAATATTTTTTTCAGAGAAGCTCATAAAAGAATATTCTTAAAACGAGCTGTTTTTGATAAACCCACAGGCGTAGTTGCCCCACTTTTTTTATTATAGTCGCTCAAACATTTGTTCATTTCTTAGATAAAATCATCATCATCACATACGCGAATTTCAAAGCGTCTAATCTCGATTTCGTTGATTTCAAATATAATTGATTAATACATAGTTTCTGAAATATCATATCGACGTCTCGAGTCATAATCTCTGATCCTGATTCTAATTTTCTTTTTGCTGCGGAAATTAACTAGATTATACGAGTCGGTGCGCGCGCGACCGCGTACATACGTCGCGATGCAGGTGACCCTCCCCGACATGGCAGTTAACATTGACACAGAAAAACTATATCAATGTTTCGGATTAATGGCATATGTGTGTCTCGCGAGAGAGACGACTCGACGAAAACAAGTTTATTTATCTCTGCTCCTCTTTCAGTCCCCGCGATCCCGAGAAAATTAAATACAATCCTAGAATTAGATCTCAAGGATGTGCTTAGTTGTGTCGAAAATTTTTGATTCTCGTAAAGAAATCGTACTGATTTTTTCACAAATACTCAATTTTTGACTATTGACTTGGGACACATGCTTACAATTTCATGGCTAAACTTTGAGCAAATATTGTCAAACGCACTTTCAATAGTTATTTTCAATTTGCTACACTTAACATGTACAGAGTGGATAATATGCGACGACTTAACTCTTAGTTATAACCATCTCCAATGTATACATTTATTTTGACTTTTCTACTTGCAGATTTACAGAAATAAAGGTACTCGCCACCCAGTGGCGGATGCTTAAAGCAGTTGAAAACTGGTCTACATTTTTTTAAACAATTCTAAATTATTTACAATACACTGAACGTAATCGATATAGAAAAATTGCAAAAGAAACAGGCTGATTAATATAATGTATTTTAAAACATTTTAAATCATCATTTTTTGGTCATTAAACAATTAATAATGTCGAGCTTTCCTATCAGGGTCATTATAGAGCACAAGACAAAACTATGAAACTACAAATTTTCACAAAAAAATTATAAACCTACGAAATTAATTTTGACTCGATTATTGACGATTCTTATCGATTACTATCATTATTATTATTATCATTCGATGAACTTTGGAGTTCAAGGATAATTACTGTCATATATAATTCCCGAACGCGACCGTAAAGATTTTCCTACGTACATTGCCTGTGAGATTTTTCAGAAATTAACCTGTTTTCCTTGAGTGGAAGTCAATAACGTCGGTCAAAGTCTTTCTCTCTCTCTCACTTATATGCGCGCGCGCGCGCGTACACATATATGACCAATCACTGTCCGTTGTTGTCCAATTCTTCCGCTACACAACTGCACACACCAGCGAGAAATGTAATATCCGATTCATCGGTGGTGTGTGGTGTGCTGTATACAGTCCGGTATCAGGAAAATCCGATTTTTCGCGGAATTTTTCGGGCCAGCGGGGACGGCTTGTACCGCGAATCGCCACGACGAGGCACAAATCTCTCTCTGTCTCTGCTCCGGTATAAAACACCAGCAATTATTCGTGTCCTTCGTGTGACAACGACGACGAAAAAAAAACAAATCACGCGAGGTGGATTAGAATACGCGATTTAAAAACTGGCCTATTACTTGTTTACGAGAATTGATATGTACAAGCAGCCATGAAAGAAGCTTATTTTTGTTCGAACGATGAAATCGATCGAGCTTTCGTCGATATCTATGCTTTTTTCTCGTTTCCAAGTTTTATCCGCGAAATTCGAAACTCGAAAAATCTCAGCCGACGAACGATCCGCGATAAATAATTAATTATCCAGACGGAACTCTCGTAGTTTCGAGTATGCAAAAAACAATACGTTTTCCGATGATATCGCTCGTTTGAAAATAGGAAGTTCTAACGCAAGCGCGCGAGAGGCGCACAGTAGTAGATATATACATGCACATACATATAGAGGCGCAGAAAGAGTCTTTGCCCACCGCCACCCGGGGTTAGCGACTTCTCTCTACGCCTCGTCATTTATTGCGTAGTACCTACGTGCAGGCGCTTCGCGTGTGTGCACATGTGTGTGTAGGTGGTCAGCCTCAACACACACAAATATACACACACACAGAATCTAAGTGCAGCTGTGCATGTATATAGGGCTTCTCTTGTGACGCACACGCATAGCAGCAGCAGCAGCAGCGATGTACGTACACTAATGCAGCACAGCGCAGCTGCAGCAGCAAAGAGAAAGAAAGAGAGAGAGAAGCAAACAAGGCGAAGCAGCAGCAGCTATTCTAAGGTCCGCGAGTACGAACGAACGAGCGAACGAACGAACGAACGAACGAAGGCACACGAGGCGAGCATAAGCGCGCAACTCGCGCGTTGTACCACACGGCTATATACTTGCCGAGGCGAGCGAGCCCCGAGTCTTAGTAATCCAGCGGTGTTCGCCGCAGTTACATCGCGTTGTACATACATACACATGTATATAGATATATAAGATTCTATGAAGCTGCAACACTGACATGCACGATAGTCTACGTCGCGCCGTCTAAACGTTGACGTCGTAGTCGTCTCTCATTTAATAATAATAAAAAAAACAGTTGGCATCGGTTGATCATGCTGTATAAAGAGTGCGTGGGTGAACTTTGAACGTTTGTAACGATCGGGCACAACATCAGCAGCGAGAGCGTCGTTGATCGTCGACCGATTAGACACCACCACTTATACATGACGCTCTTTAATTCGCTTCGTACTGCCCTGTGAGTACTTTTTTAATATGACATTTAAACTTACGAGTATGAACGTTTGGCGCATATTACCACCCTTATCGCTGTATAATTGTATATATATCGGCGCGTCGAACCCCGAGATCCGATTTCATCTCGCAACAGTAACGACCGATTACACTCTCGCGCTCTGTGCACATTATATAGTATGACTCAAGAGCCGGCTTTATCATCTCTGCTCTCTCTGTTCTCTCTTGCAGTAGTGCACAATCTCGCTCCAAAAACTTTTGCGCGACGCGCAAATAAAATATATTCGAATCGAACTATATAGCGATAGCGATATAGTTTTATCGTTGTAAACGCTTTGGACGAGACGCTAAAAATCGCACAGTATGACATGCGCCGAGTGAACTTAATCGTGTCATGCTCTTTCTCTCTCTTTCTCGTATACGTTTAATATACAACGATACGTATCGCGAACGATGAGATGTCAATTTTTTCCGCGCGCATATAACTCACTTTCAATTGTCTTTAAAAAAAAAAAAAAGAAAACATAAATATACTATACGCCTAGTTTTGTTCTCGTTGTTGTCCAACAACAATGCCACTTTGTTAATGTAGTCAAACACCATTATGGGAGGAGGAGGTGATTACCGTCGGACGGAACGCGACCGACGAAATAAATAATAATATACCTTTATACTCGCTCCACGGACACGCGCGCGCAACACAACAAAAGTTAAAAATCGTAATTTTTTCATCCGCGTCTCCGTATTATATTCTGCCGCAATACCACTGACTCATTCTTCGTGCCTATGTTCTATATAAAAGTCGATGTTGTTGTTGCTAGTCTAGTTGTTGTTGTTAGTTTGCAGGATCGAATCGTTACGCAGACAGCTGATGTGTGTTATAATTTTATGACAGCACAAAGGGAGCTTTTTTCTGGTCGTTTTGTCGCGGCGGCTGTGTATTATACATCGATGCTCTCCTTCGATCGGTCGGTGTAATATTCCAACGTGTGTGCAGCAGCAGCTATACTTTTTGCGTCGACTGCTACACATGCCTTATGTATTATTACGTTATATATATGTCTGCCTACAGGTTGGCCTACACACAACATTCTCGTATCTGTGTCACGCAAGCACAGCTGTCTATGCTGCATCAAAGCTCGACAAATATACGGACGACTTTCGTTTCATGCTGCAATATTCAAAAATTCTTCTAATTTATTTCGACTCGTCTTCTTGTACGATAAATCGCGCGAATCGATAATTAACTTTTCCAAAGGTTAACTCGAGTCTTCCCCTCGCGGTCATTCATCCATCGCGCTCGTAAATAAAGTTTTGCCTTCGTATACGAGGAAGTTAAAGAGTGGCTATTATTAAAGTGAATGTTGCATTCCGTTTCCTCGTTCGCGGACTAACTATACGGATAGTTTCTCTTGCCGCCTCCTTCCGAATGCGGGAGATTCGTCATTTATCATCTCGCGCTCACAACTTTGTTGTTTTTTCATCATCGAGATTGATGAATTTCTTCTACGAGCCAGGAAAATCGTGACGAGCTGATTTTTGAAAAGGATCTTTCCGTATATCGCAATGTTGTGACAACATAGAAAAAACGAAAAGAAAGAAACTGCGCGAGAATTATATCATCGAAAAAAAAGGATTGTTTTTTTTGTTTTTTGTAAATTGAATTAGACGAAAAAAATTACGCAACGATCCGATAGAGTCATCTTTTACATAAGGTCCGGTTTTAAAGATGTGTGTTATAGCTTCCTTTTTTTCTCTATTATGATTGTTTAATATTTACCTGTCTCTAAAGATTTTATCCTCAAACTATTAATAGAATCTAGTAATTTTTAATCAAACTAGCAATTTATCTTGTCTCATATTAACGAGTGTCGCATTTCCGTCAGATTTTCAGAAATCAAAAGTACCGCTCGTTAAAGAGACGGCAGCAGCCACTCGAGAGATATGCGAGATCGGCAGAGCTGATACGCAGGCCGGTTGGATTTTCGGTCTATTTCGTCTCGAAATTGGGACCGACTCCTGAGCAATATAAATAATTGCGACGAAAATGGAGCGACAGCAGCAGATCGATCTCAAGGAGCAGCAGCAGAGCTGCGTCGTGGCTCCTCCGGGTGCGAACGGCAACGGCGAGGCGACCTTTACCACGCTGGCCCACCTCACCAAGATGACGCCGGTCAACATCGACTTCAACGACGTCACGTACAGTGTGCCGACCGGCAGAAAAGGTAAGACTGTATTGTGTGTATTTTTTTTGTCGTTGAGATTTTCGCGCATCGATAATTGAATCGTAAATGTGTGATTGTTCATTTATGAGTCTTGGTATTAAATCTTTGGGGGGAAATCTATTCAATTCCATTTCCGCTCAATTATCTCGAACGTCAAAATAGATTTCTTTTTTTTTATAACGATTTTTTTTTTCGTCGTCGCGGACACACACACAAACTGAGCCTCTATATACGCACATCAAAGACACTTTGTCGGGTGACGTTCAGTCGGAATTTGAATAATTACCGAGCGGTAGTAGAGTCGCGGCTGTCATCGCGAGCGAGTTAAGTCAACCGAAAAACTTATTCAAACAATTACACACACAAAGTCTTGTTACTCGGTTGTAAGCTTACAAGATAAAATATACATCTGAATGATCACACTAATTTTTCCCCATTCCGCATTTGCGAAGCTGATCTCTTTGAATTTTGAAACTCCCAAAATTTTAGCACCTAAATGAATTATTCACTTCGCGATCGATCGGCTTTTCATCGTCGTCTCCTCTTTGCCGTCATTTCGCTCGGCGGCGCGTATAACGTTCAAACTTTTATGTACACATACAACAGCGTATGGCGTGCGTTTATAATTAAAGCCGTGATTCATGTAAGCAATGGAAAAGTACGGAAATCATAATTGTCCGCGTGCCGGCAGCAGCATGAGCAGCAGCAGCAACGCCGCACATCTCTTTTTCAGCAGTACACGCACATATTATATACAAATTCGCGATCGTTATAGGCCTTTTGTCGAGTGAAATTTTTTTTTTCTCATTTCTCTATACATCCTAATACTCGTATAGTGTATTAGAGACATACTTTTTTGACAACCGTCTCTATCTCGTAATTACCGCGATAATCATCGGTAATTCAACATTCGTTATTAATTTGCATACAATTATTACTCAATTATATAGCGAGCGCAAACGCTATACTTACCTTGAACTTGGCTGGATTCTGCTTGGTAATGATTTTTTTTTCATCTGTACGCGAAATATATATCCTCGAAGGTGATTCTCGAGGATATATTTCGTGTATGTATATACTTTTATTTTTACATCGCTCGGACTCGACTGCGAATCAATCCGAGCTCAGTGTTTGAATTTTATAAAATTAGCCGCCCGAAAAAGCTCATTGCGTATTAATGAGCTTACAACAGGATGTGTGTGTATAGTCTGCTATCGAACAAAAAATATAATCTCAATCGTATCGAAATTGAAAATCTTTATACACACACAGAATACCAAATTGTATGTACACGTGCTGCTAATCTTAGATTTTTTATACTCTTTGTCAAAATAATTGCCTTACAAATTTGACGCTATCTCGTACACGGTGGTATGTGTAGTTGCAATTTTTTAATCATCGAACGAGTCGCGGAGGTTAATTTATTACTAAATAATTGAATAGTTTTGCGAGTTCCTCTCGTCAAGGCCACCGAGCGAAAGAAAAACGATTCGAGTTAAAGCCGCGTTACTCTACGTCACGTACGTATAATAGTGTATATAATACTCTCGAGCCGATGTTTGAAAAAGGCCACGTGGTCGCTTTAAAATCATATCGTGGGCGATAATAAAAAAACTCGATGATAGAAGTAAATAGTAAATGTATACGCGGAGATTATAGCTCGATGAACTATATGATCGCGACCACACGGGCACACGCATTTAATTAATATTATTCATCGCGCTTAGATATTCAAAGCTGTTCATTTACAAGCTCGTTGCGACGATAACCCGCTCTTTTGCTCGATACTAAAAATTCATAAGTAATAATGGCACTTATCAATCAAATACTTGAAATTACGTTAGTTTTACCCAAATCATTCGAGTGAACGTTTTTTGCATTCGAATTGCAGCCTGCTGCATTTCGTCTAGCTGAAAACTCACGCGAATGATGAATCATGTCTTTTGAAGTTTGGATCGTTCTTTTTTTTTTCTTTCGTATATACGTCGATATTTGCCTCAAAATACAAGCGACTTTAATAAGACGCTGTACTCGAATTAATCGTTCGTTAGCGTGACACACATACGCACACGCGAACACTATTACATCTGAAAAAAACGTCACGTAGTAGTTTTTGAGATTCGTTATAAGCCGAGTTGCCGCGCGATACATCGTAAAAATCGATGTAAAATCATGGAAAAAAGAGGAGAAACAATAATCATCGCGATGTTCGGTCGGGAAGAAATCTTTCCAAATAACAAAATTGTGCGAGCGTCATCGCGATACGAGTATTTAAAAAAAAAAAGAAAAAAATTGACTCTCTCGCGGCTAGCACGCTAGCATCACCGATTTCTCACATGCACTATAACGCCGCCGCAGACGCTGCCAGACGTTTCTATGTAATGCAAAAATGATCAGCGTGACATAACCGGCGCGATTTGACCTTAATGGCGAAAAATTCGCTTACCAAGGCAATGGAACAACCCGCGCGCCGACTGATGTTTGACGCGACGCTTCTGCGGTGTATTATACTTTCTTCTTCTTTGACGTAGACATCTCGACGTAATAGAGGCTCGTTTCTAGATGCATCTTGATGTTACAAAAGCGGCTAATTATGAAAATACCATTGTTTCTATGCCGCACTTGTTTTTTTGGGTTTTACAGATACGAGAAGACTTGGGCTAAGAAAAAAAGTTGTGAAAGTGGTAAATGAAACAAAAATTGTTCTCTGCTTGGCTCTCGTGTTTATTTCCGAAGGTTTAATTTGTAACTTAAGAAGGAGCGATAAACAGGACTCGAGTCAAGCGTAAATTTTCCTATATACCTTGAAACAAGTTATATTTTCACATTTTTCGGACCGAGTTGATCAATAACTTTTTTGAATTGCATTTCTGATGCATCTACAGTTTTGTTATCACCAGATTGGTTACGCGAAGAAAGTAAAAACTTATAACAATAAATTTTAGATGAAGGAAATGAATAAATCGAGTAAATTATAATTAGCTACAGTATCTGAAAATCGTAAAAAAAAAAAAAAAAATAAATAAATCATGAAACATAAAGCTGAATGTTTCTATCTTGCATAATAAAAGAACAATAGATAAAATATAAAGCAATGATTCTCGTTATAGGTTCGAAACTGATACTGCGCGGTGTCAGTGGACGATTTAGATCCGGCCAGTTGACGGCGATTCTCGGCCCATCAGGAGCTGGTAAATCGACTCTTCTCAACGTCCTTGCTGGATACAAGTAGGCATAATTTTCCATTGTTATTATTTACATTAGTCGAATAAATTATGAGATAATTTCGATTCCGAACGGTTCAATGTCGCATCAAAGTGTACATGAATCACAGACGGTCATTTCATTATCTGCATCTCAAATTTTCCCCGAGTATTGATAAAAACTAACGAATGATTGATTTTACATTCGTTCGAATGTTTCCCCCTGTTTCATAATGTTGGAGCCGCGCATGGTCACGTGGATAGCAATTAATTATTGAAATAAATAATAATAATTTTTTATTGCTCGTTGACAAAGGTTTCACGTTTCCAAGCATTGATCGAACTCCGTTGAAAGATGTCGAAATGAATGTTGCTAGTCGAAATGAATAGTTAAAGAGCTTCCTGCTAAAAAATGAGATAATTCCTATTTTTTTTTATAAATGTTAATAAATTTAGACATTGTTCTCGTTCACATAGTAAAAATTTGACCGTTCTGTCAGTACCCACTTACATCATTCAAATCTGTACATAAGTGCCGCGTTCAAAATATACTCAACTGCAAAATAATATCAATCGTCGATCGACATGTTCAAGAATTGTATTTCATTACCTTACAATTAAGAATGTACTGTATTTTCTTTCAAAAGTGATTCTTATTTTTATTAATTTTAAACGCTGTTTTTACACAACGAGATAACACTTGAGAGAATTCGTGTAGTCTTCCGAACGCGTGCATTAAATTTCATACGATTATTAAATTTTAATGCCTCAATGATGCACCGAATCAACGTGGATTTTGAGATTTCTTTTCTGTGTAAATTTCTTCCCACATATGAGGCAAATTTCCTGAAGTGTCCTAGCGCTCTGCCGGACGGCATTTTTTGGACAAATCACTCAATTTCTAACTCGCTGTAAAAGTATCAAAACACACCTCAAAAAAATAACTAACTAATGATTTCGATAGGAAATTTCCTCAGCTTTCCGATGGTGAGGTCCAATTTCCTGGAATTTTCCATTTTCACCCGGAAAATTGTCATCAAACATTCAGAGCTCAATATCTCGAAAAACGCCACTTTTTTTGCTTTTTTTATTGTTTCAATCGAAAGATGAGGTCATTTTACATCGGGTATGGTAGTTTTCAGAGTGTATTTTTGATGAAAACTAAGGAAAATACCGGAGGTTTTAGTTAGCGCTCGGCCGCTCGGCGCGATTTCCAGCCTTGCGCGGCTCGCTGTAACTTGTAACTCGCTCGTATGACATTGTGATTTGGCTAGAAAAATTATTAAACATACGGTTTCGATAGGAAATTTTCTCAGCTTTCTTATGGTGCAGTCGGATTTTCCGATAATTTACATTTTCACCAGAAAAAGTAGAAAATAGACCTTTAAGTCCATTTTTTTTAGTGAAAATGTAAATTATCGGAAAATCCGACTGCACCATAAGAAAGCTGAGAAAATTTCCTATCGAAACCGTATGTTTAATAATTTTTCTAGCCAAATCACAATGTCATACGAGCGAGTTACAAGTTACAGCGAGCCGCGCAAGGCTGGAAATCGCGCCGAGCGGCCGAGCGCTAACTAAAACCTCCGGTATTTTCCTTAGTTTTCATCAAAAATACACTCTGAAAACTACCATACCCGATGTAAAATGACCTCATCTTTCGATTGAAACAATAAAAAAAGCAAAAAAAGTGGCGTTTTTCGAGATATTGAGCTCTGAATGTTTGATGACAATTTTCCGGGTGAAAATGGAAAATTCCAGGAAATTGGACCTCACCATCGGAAAGCTGAGGAAATTTCCTATCGAAACCATTAGTTAGTTATTTTTTTGAGGGGCGTTTTGATACTTTTACAGCAAGTTAGAAATTGAGTGATTTGGCCAAAAAATGCCGTGCGGCAGAGCGCTAGGACACTTCAGGAAATTTGCCCCATATACCACATGTATGAGTGATGCTGTTATGTACCGAACCAATATGAATTTTCATAGCACCCTTCGTTGAAAATTTCTTTCCACATATATTACATGCATTGGTGATGCCATTATGGGTCGTATCAATGTGTATTTTGAGATACTGTTTTGATGTGAATTTCTTTTCACATTTATCACATGAGTATTTAATGCCCTGATGCGATGATTGAACATGCCTATTCAAATCATTAATTTGTTTAAACGTCTTCCCGCATAATTTACATGTATGTGTGATACCATAATGTGCTGCATCGATGTGAATTTTGAGACCACTCTTCTGTACAAACGTCTTTTCGCATATATCACATGAATGTAGGACTCCATTATGCACTGAATCCATGTGGATTTTGAGATAATTCTTGCGTTTAAATTTCTTTCCGCGTATATCACATGAATATAGAACTCCACTATGCACTGAATCGATGTAAAGTTTGACATTACCTTTTTGAGTAAATGTTTTGCCGCATATGTCACATCTATAGAATTTCTTTCCACATTTATGCTTCGTATCGAGGTGTGTTTCGAGTCTACGTTTGTTGTTGAATTTTTTGCTAACACTACTTTGAAATTTTTTCTCGTGAAATTCACATTCGAAATTCGAAGTCGATTCTACTGCAACGTCGCTAATGTCTTCTTGTTTCACTTCACTCGCGTTCTCTATTTTGATTACGTTCCGAGTTTCATAACCATCAGTATCTTTTTTATTCAACAAGTGATTTTGAGAAATATCATCAACTTTTAATAAATTAAAGGGGGGCTTGACATCTTCACATTCAACGACTATTTCCACTTCGTCAACGAGATCAATTTTGCAATTTACGTCAGATTTCTGAACGGTATGGGTCTGCAAAAAAATTAAGTACGAGTGACGTATAATTACAATACGAGTTGGATATATAATTATCAACACTTACTGAATTTTCTGCCGGAAATGGTGAGAGCTGGAAATTTTCAAGATCGGGTTTTTCGTCATTCGTCCCACAATCATTTTCACTGAGGAACACATCACTAGGCTCCTCTTTTACTCTGAAATAACCTCAATAAGATCAAGTATTTTGTTATGATGTTCTTACGATTTCATTCATAACATGAAAATTACCTGGCGAAGCAGTTATATAAACCAATGGATTCCATTTTATTCACTAGAAATGTCGTTGACAATAACCACTGATCCAGTTGATCAAGCAAACTACACGGTAACACGAATTTATGCTGATAAATGTCAAAAATCTGAGAAAGAATGTACACGACGCTATCGTATCAAAGTCGCACGAGCGTCAAAAATTGTAACAGTAAGCAATCAAGTGCGTCTGTGCACCACGTGGAAAGCGAACGAACGGACTCTCGGCACTGAAGCGTCCTGGTCAATGTCACAGCTAAGCGTGCCAACTGACAAAGATGCTTACCCGCTGTCTCGTTCGCTTGTTTTTCACGAACTCCTAGCCTGCGCAACGAAATTATCCCATAAGAAGTTTCCACATAAAAAAGAATAACTTTTCTCTCGTGGTCAATTCAAACTGCCATGCATACTCGAGTGTCGTGTTCGGCTTATTATACAGAATTCGGTCGTAAATTAATATCGAGTATCGGTCAACGGGTTGCTGAGCCGAAGCGACGCATTGACGATTATGAATACGTTTGCTAAGCATGGATGGTTCCAGAAGTCGGCAAAACTCGAAGCAGGTTGGTACGATGAGTTCGCCAATGAATTTAAACAGTCGATTATAAAGCCGAATTTGTCCGTCTACGACTTGATGCTGATGCGACCACAAGAGGCCACAAAACTGCTCACATATACGGACTACCAGACGAATCCGCTCTTTTACTACTTTCCTCCATATCTCCCCTACATGTACATGTATGAAGCTTGTGCTTTGCATCTGTTCGAGATAATGTATCGAGGATTTCTCCGACGCTGGGCTCTGGATTCACTCTTGGAGCTGACGAGCTATAAACTGCCAATTCGTTGTCTTGAAGTAATCATAGATTCATTTATGAACCAAGATTTGTATCATATATGCTTGGCGGCTGCAGACCAAAGCTCGTCGTACCTAATACGAGATTTTCGCTGCCTCTCCATTCTGTAACAAATGATTTTTAAAGGTACAAAACACTGCAGAAGATTACGTTTTAGATAAATGGAAAAAATTAATATTCATATTCTGTAAGATACTTATGTTTGGAATGATAATATATTGTATTAAAATAAATAAAATAAAAACTAAAAAAAACGAGCTCGTATCTATGTTATTTCTCAATGCCTGTATGCACTACTGCAAATTTTGAACATTATTAAATTAAATAAATAAGTATTTCAATTCAACTCAAACTCAGAAAAAAGACTGTGGAACAAAAATATGTAAAACGTTAAGAACATATCAAATTCTATTTTCAAGATTTAACATACAAGAACTACCTATTTAACGATATAAACTTTTACGCAGCCCTGAGAACGATATTGTTTTTTGAACATTATCACTCGGTATTGAATTTCCAGTCACGAATTTTACAGCCACAACGTATACGAGCTCGAGATTCGGTCGGCCGGCAAATAGTCACGTTACGACTGTACACACATTTGTGCACCACACGCGGAATATTAAAAGTCCAAACGTCCTTTTACATGCGGACGAAATCGGCTCGCGTTTCGCATTTCAAGCGAGCTATATATACAGGCGGAGAACTCGGTACACCGATGGTATATTTTGAATCGGAGTCGTTGCTCACGATTCACCCACGCACCCTTGGCCCCGATGCGTCAAAAATCAAATTCGACTCGTATAATGATTAACGATCATTTACTCTAGCATCGTTGCTCTCTGGCAGTCACAACACTGCGGACTATTTACTAATATTGGAAAATACATATTGTTAATAGTTTTTATTTTATTTTTTTTTCAAGGATTTTTTCTTGTAAGCGACGCGATTGCGCAATCGTTTCGCGAGATTCGCGCATTAGACATGTATATCTCAGCTTCCGTAAACGTCGCTAAGTGAGATAAACAATTTGCTTTTGAAAATAGACAATAAAACGTCTAATTATTCTCTCCGCGCAACATCGGGCAAATAATAGTTCTCGTTATTACACCGGCGAGCTGAGCAAATTTGTAGAAAGAATCGGCTCAATTTGCACGCGGAGTGTCTGTCTACCGTCTCGAACTCTTTTGTGTGTGCATTGCATTAAACTTACAATATGACGATGGCAAATATTTGTCGTTCAAACAAGTTTCCATGCGCTACTCGGGATGCTATAAAACTCGTGAAGATTTTTCATAAAACAGTAGCAACGAACCGACCTTGACCAGGAGCTGCGGAGCTCTATTAATATTAATATTTGACTACGTCGGTGCACGTCGGGCATTTATAAATACGTGCTTGATTTATAACTTCTTTAATTCAATTACGTCTCTTTTTTGTAACTTCGCAAAAAAGAAGATGTTGGAAAATTTTTCAGGTCCGAAAAAGGTCATTGACATCCGTTGAACATTTTTTCTTTTTATAAAAATAGCTTAAGTATGATGCGTTTTTTGAACTTTCCATTATCAGCGTCTTCTCTCTCTTTTTTTCTTTTTTTGTTCGAATCGACGATCGGTTCATTTCCCTACGTCGCGAGAGCGCTCGAAATTGCTTTCGCACAGTATAGAGAAAATACAATCGGATCGGCGCGGGAGATCACTGACCGTTCGACCTACGACACAGGAAGCGCCGAGCCGGGGCGGGGAGGAGAGCTCGACGAGACGCGCCGCACGACGTCTAATAAAAATTGACGATGCCATTTGTGCCACCGAATGATTTTTGCTGCATGGCACTCTACGCTTTATCGGAAATAAAGATTAGTACATTTTTTTTCTCGACGGTACGGTGAATTATTCAGCGGAGGACTATGTGACGATTTTGCATGAAACCGAGATAAACAACTGCTGCTCTTTTCCAATTGATAATAGGATTATGACTCGGTGACTCAGTGATTGAATAATTGATGTAATCGTATAAGTTTTAACGCCATTCGAATATCAAGATTGAATGGCTGTCGTAAAAATTGTTTATTATTGATCGTTAATGTCAATATTATTAACATTATATAAATTAGACGCTACTTTATTAAAAGAGCCTGACATTAATTACTGAACAAGTAATGTTAATTAATATTCATTGCATACATTAATTGTATTAAAGATAGATTCTAATTGAATACTAATTATATTTATTATAGACTTTACGAGAACAAAAACTATGATATACTACTTTTTTAAGATAATCTCGAGGCAAGAATGAAAAAAAATTTAATCTAGTTTTTTTAAAACTCAGAAGGTTTCCTCCTTTATTCTAACGCTCGTAAAAACAATTTAGTCAATATAAACTCGAAACAATTGTATCTATTCGATGACAGAAATGCCGATTATGTTTTGTATGCAATTTTCAGACAAAATGTTTGATCGTTATTTACGTAAATTATAATTGAAATAATTTTTATTTCTAGATGCGAAGGTGCAGCAGGAATCATAAACATCAATGGCCATCCACGAGATCTCAAAGATTTCAGACGTACCTCGTGTTACATTATGCAAGAGGACCTGGTTCAGCCGAAGCTCACAGTTCGGGAGGCAATGTATTTTGCCGCCGATCTCAAACTCGGAAGTAAAGTGTCGAAGAGCGATAGGAAAGCTGTGGTAAGTTTAAGCGACGTCGCTGGCAGAATGCTCAACATTGATAATGGCCTAAAGATCAAAAAATAAACATTTGCAATATTTTTGAATATACTATTATTATCATTATTTTGGATTAGTTGGCTTATTTTTGGCAATTTTTTTATTACAATTACGTTACAATTATTAAGTGCATTTTAAATAACCGGAAAATGACAATTTAATCGTTTCGAATCGTTGAGGTCAGTTTCCAATCACGTTGTATATCACAATAGAACTTTAAACGCCCACCATTAGATGGCGAATATCTGAATTCCGTAAATCTGCAAGTGGTAAATTCAAAATAATTGTATATAAGTTGCTAAGCATGTGAAATAATTCAAGTCTGTCGATCGTCTTTCTTTGAAAAAAGCAAAAATTACGTTTGACTGGATCGGTGCCTTAAAAGTAGATAATTTAAAATAACCATTGAAAATATAGTTGAATGGCAATATGCTTGAATTTCATACAGTCAGAAAATAATCATTAAAAACCGCGGAACATCATATGACTTTTGATACGTGGGTTAAATGAGAGATATTCGAGACAGGCGACCCACGTAACACTATATAAACTGTTGAAAAAAATCTGACCCTTTTGATTGGTACATACTACATACCTAGTTCTAATGGCCCATGCCCAAAACAATATTTCATTGGCCAAAAAGTAAATAGTAATTTTAAATTTAAATGTTTTAAATTCACGTATAATTCATGAAGAATCGACGTTATTTGAAAAAAGGTAATTATTAATAAAAAAAAAAGAATCATGAACTTTTTTCATGAAATACATTTTTCGAATTGTTAATTTTTTCGTTTATCATCCTAGTTAATTTTTTTTCGTAATATCATTCGCTGCATTATGCCTACCTGAGAAACTGCTTAATTATTATTCCATCTCGAGCGTTTTTGTATGGCTGCGACACTTTTATGTCATGGTTACTATTCTCGACCAATATTGGAAAAAAAATTCATAAATTAAGCGCCGATAAATCTACCTCGATGTGTTTATGTGTCGATCTCTGATCCGACGATTATTTGGTAAATTTTACTCGCGACGATTGTTGATATTATTTTTCACCGACACGAACGTTTCAACATCGGCTCTCTAATAAGTATACAAAACTATATTAATCGGTTTGCAATGTATATAATACGTGGCAATCATAAAATAATTTGTTTGTCGCTTGAGATGTATCTGCGCCGGGAGAAATAGTTGCGCAATGTTTCGTCGATTCAACCGTAATTACGGCGACGCGAGGATGAATAAACTAGGGATAATTTGTTAATCATTAATTATTATAAAATTGATAAACAAACTGGTTACACATTCCGACACAAAAACACATGTAAGATTGAAATAATGGTCAATGTGTCGTAAAACTCGATTCGCGCCATCTGCGGTTTTTACCTTGCGCGTACGTACAGAAATGCTCGTGAAAATGTTTTTTTTTCGTGTGCAAAGTACACACAATCGAGTGTGTGGAACCGCAGAAGCCGCAAGAGCACAACTGCTCGCCGGGAAACGTGTGTACCGCGCGACGCGTAGACCTATTAAATGTGCCAAGGGATATTGCGCATTCTCTCGTTCTTGCATTTTGGATCTCTCTCACTCTCTCAAATTTCGTCACTATGTGCGAGAGCAACAATCCTCATATTTAGGCAAATGTAATGTCGGAGATGCAACATCTCTCTCGTTCTCGAGTCACGCGCAAATAATAATAGGCTTTATCAAGACACGATTAACCCAATGTTTTGCCACTTTGGCGCATTTTTTTTGACTTTTTGCCTCGATGAAAAATTACCTACTTAATCTGCAGTTTTTCCGGAGCACACACACACACGACACTCATAAAGATGTATAATGGCCGGGCAAGGCCATTATGTAAAATAATGCGTACACGCGCCTATTTGCTTTTTTACGATACATAGATGATTGAAAAAAAAAAGTTATATCGACGAAGAGTTATATTCGATAGTGTCACGCGTGTCATAAATATATATCTATTTTCGTGAATTTTATGACTTTTTAAATATGTAGTAAAATACGCAGGTGGATGATATCCTGGTGACATTGAGACTGCACGCGGCCAGGAACACGGTGACCGAGAGGCTGAGCGGCGGCGAGCGCAAGCGGCTCTCCATAGCCCTGGAGCTCGTCAACAATCCGCCCGTCATCTTTCTCGACGAACCAACGACGTGAGTTCAAAAAATAAAAATAAATAATTTTCAAAATTAACCGAAGTAATGAAAAATCAATCATGTATAGGGGTCTCGACGAGCTGTCCTCGGTACAGTGCATCGACCTGCTGCAGCGAGTCGCCCTGAGCGGCCGCACCGTCATCTGCTCGATCCACACGCCCAGCGCCAACATACTTGCCAAATTCCATCACGTCTACTGCGTGGCAGCGGGCCAGTGCTCGTATCGCGGCCCCGTCTCCGACATCGTGCCCTTCATGAGCCGCATCGGCCTCGAGTGTCCCAAGCATTACAATCCGGCGGATTTTCGTGAGTATTAATTAATTGAATATAATGTCGATGATGATTATTGTACAGCAATTTGATAAATTTTTTTTTTGTATACAGTGATCGAAGTGTCATCGGGCGAATACGGTTACGATTGGATCGACCGGATGGTGGTGAAGATCGACAAGAGACGGCCGGTGGTGCTGCAGGCCAAGCTAGACACGCCCGCCTACAAATTCGACAAAAAAGAGAGATTCCAAATCTCTTGGTGGGAGCAGTTCACGATATTATTCCGTAGGAAAATGCTGCAGAGCCTTCGGGACAAGGTATAACAATAATATTAATCATTAAATTTTTTTCTTTTAATATTAAAATAGAAATGAAATTTTATTTATTTCTTTGCAGAATTACCTGTACCTGAAGATCGTGCTGCACATATTTTTAGGCTTCATAATCGGCGGTCTCTTCCTGGACATTGGCAACGACGGTTCCAAGACCCTCTTCAATTTCGGCTTCTGCTTCACCTGCATCATCGTTTTCTTATACATACCGATGCTGCCGGTCCTCTTGCACTGTGAGTGTCGATTTAAATTTTTTGATTCATCATTAAACGATCAAAAATAACCTTTAACTTGATTATTTTTTTATCATTTCCAGTCCCGCAAGAGGTGCAGCTGATAAAGCGCGAACACTTCAATCGCTGGTACGACCTGGGACCCTACTTCTCGGCGCTCACCGTCTCCAACATACCGGCTCAGGTTGGTACCCATATACTTATATACTAAACTTCCGCATTTATAGTTTGTAATAATAAAATCTATTCTTAATTTATGAGAAACTGAATTTGTGCATTTTATGACAAGTGTATCCTTTACCGTTATACATATTGGCTCTCAAAAATAATACTCTTGAGTACATGTGCTTCGCGTGAGTTATACCTGTAACGGCACATATTTTTACCTATAAATACGAGGGGGGACTGCGCATTAGCTGCTTGCCTCTAAATCAACCTTCGCCGCGCACAAACACCTGTCAAACTTATAATAATTACATACACTCTGCGCCTGCAAAATTATCAAATATATCAATCAAAAATGTGAATTTCAGCTGATTCTGTGCGTCCTCTACCTGTCGATGGTCTATCCGATTACTAGTCAACCGATCGAAGCTCCCCGCTTCATCATGTTCATCGCCACGTGCATGGTGTGCGCCCTCATAGCCGAGAGCATGGCCATGGCCATTGGCAGCACGCTCAGCATCGTGGTGAGTATTTTTCTCGAAAAAAAAAATTTAATCAACAGTCAAAATCGTGAAATTTCATTGCGATTTTTGTGTTTTTACCAGAACGGTATGTTCGTGGGGCCGGCCTTGACGGTGCCGCTGATGCTGTTCGCCGTGCAGGGGATCGGCGACGAGGCGCCCCTACCGATCTACCGCAAGATCATCATGTACTGCAGCTACATAAGGTACGGGTTGGAGGGCCTGATCGTCGCCACCTACGGCAACAATCGGGCCAAATTGCCTTGCCCCGAGGAGGAGATCTATTGTCATTACGCCGTGCCTCGTCAACTCTTGCGAGCCATGGGTGTGTACATTTTTATTTAGTTTTTTTTTTTTCATTGGCATTAATTTCAATTTATTTATCGTTTTCAATTCATTTTTTTGCACAGGCATGGAGAATCTCGTATACTGGGTCGATCTCGTGGCGCTGTTTGTTATCCTATTTTTACTGAGGGCATTGACGTACTACCTGCTGAGACAACGCCTGAGACCGAACAAGACGTTCAGGGCGCTCCACGTCATCGGCCGACTCGTCAAGAGCCACTTGAGCATGGATTAGACGACGAATAATTAGTGTATAGTAGTGCTTTTACGATTTAAGAGTGTGTCGATTAAATATAGCGCATCATGACAGGCCATATGATTCCGAAGGATAAAGAATAAAAAAATCGATATCTCGAGATATCTTGTATCGTAAAACCGCGCAAAGTGCCACAATTACCATTATCCATATGCAGCAGCACTAGTGTGTGTGTCTGTGCATCATTCATAAGTTAGAAAGATTTTATAATGCTGTTAAAAATAAAAGTGGAAAAATAATTTATCTTAGCATTATTATACGATTATTTAGTAGTTTTTATTCTGTAAAACGAAAAGTGATATGTAAATAACACTGTGGACATTTAAGTTTATGTAATCTCGTCGATTTATTATTGTTATTAAAGTTACGAATTGTTAGCGAGTAAAGTATATATATTTTATACGGAAAAAGTAAATATGTTATGATATTTTGTGGTTGATAATCATATTTTGTGAATTAAAACGAAATTAAATGGACGATTGTCCTTTCGAGGATCTTCGTCGAAAACAATACTTGTTGGTGCAATGAATGGTTCACCTGGAGACTGAAGACGAAAGATTTAATTGAAATCCTAAGGGGTGTCGTGGGAATTTTTAAATAAAAATTGATTATGACACTTAATGAGAAAAAATTATCTAAAAAATTAGTATAAAACTGCTGGCATTGATAAGTTTCAATTTGATATAAAATTTAATTCAAAGGACTTTTTGTTTCCTTATCAATAAAGCTCTGTTATAGATCCGAAATTTACTTTCTAGTGTGTCGTAAATTCTGAAATTTTAAACTATAGATCGAATTTGTGACTCTCGTCGGTACGAACGGTAAAATTGCTTGGTCCATTTTATTCGTACCAATCTTATTTTTTTCCGGGTATTTATTTAGTTTTACTTGGATCACTTGAACATTCCAAAAATTTTGTACGACCAAGGTGTTGAAGATTCGGAAGCGAAATACAAGGGCCCAACGTTCAGAAAGTGTTTGGTCAACTCAACCGAAAATTAAACTTATTATTAAAAACGTGCTCATTATATCCCCTCATTGTAACTTTTTCACTTGAAGATTAGCAAATGAAGTTACTCTCCATCTAGCGGTAGAGGCTGACTTTAATTATGATTGAATTTTTGCTGCTTTTTACTTTTTACTGCTTTAAGAAAATACAAAAAGGTAAATCAGTATTAAAACATTCATTTTCAATCAAAATATTTTCAATTTCAATAGAATCGAATCTTTTTCGTTCATTTTTGCTTTAAAAATAATTTATGTGTTCGGTTTTTCACGCCGTTTTTGCACCATTAATGCCACTAGTGATATGAGGCGCGCTCGCGCGAGCCAACTAATCATGTGAAATTAAAATAACCAATGACTTACGAATATAAATATTTAAACAAACGCCACATTTAAGTTTTCCCACTAATAAATTATATGAACGACCGACGCGAGATTGCGACCAATCATGAAGCGAGGCGCAGTAACATATCGACGGATAAAACGACTTTACATGATTTTTTAATGGAAAGATTTATATGAAAAAAAATCATACATTATTTTTGAATAAAAAATCCAGTATGGATTTCTTTAATTGCAACTCCTGATTTTTACGTTAAGTCTGTCTTAAATTTGAGATTTATAACAGTACAGACGCGACGCTTGCAAATATCTAGGCTAAAAATAAATATTCGATAAACCATCTTATAATGTATAAACTCTGATGATTGTAATAATGATATATTAATCGCTTTGATTTCTAGTTACGATCACAGCAGTGTCAAATTTATTGCACATCATTACGCTCTCAATTGATCGATGAATCGATCCATTACTTCTATTATAAATTTACAAACGATATTGTACAGTTACAATACAGATTGTCACAGATTTCCCCAACGCCCACTACACTATCGTACGCGGCAGGGATGTCCCGAACTGCGCTTATATTCCTCGTTACAGCGAGCGATGAATGGGAGAAGATTGACACACAAGCGTGATTTAGTATAGAGAACAGGAGCTGGTGGTGTGGCGTGGGCTATTGTCAATGAAAGCCGCTTCGATTCAGGCGCGCAAACAATGGTCAAAGCTCGGCTGCCATCGCTGCTGCTGCTGCTGCATTGGGTCGCTCCAAGTTTGCGCTCGGTCTATGATATAACTTTCGTAAACTGTGTGCGGTGAAAATTCGCGCGGAAATAAGACACGAGTGATTCGATTATAACATTTGACGATGCGGTCGATTTTTTTCACGACCAATTCGAACCGCACCGATAAACAAGGCGAGAAGAGCATAAAAGTGCCGATTTAATTAGAAAAATGTGAAGGATAAATGATTTTTTTACGAAGGTTTGAATATTCAGATTTTTTTAAAACTGTTATCTTGGTCATAAAGTCGAGCGTAAAATGGTGTTCCAGAACTGGTATCAAATTTTCTTTTTCATTGTTTTGATAGAATGCGAAAATCTATTTCAAGGTAAAACGCGAAATGTTTCGATGACAATTTATTTCTAATTATATAAATAAAAGATCTTTTTCATTAACCAAGTTAACGGGGACAGTAAAGCAGAAAAGAAAGATTCGACCGCTTCGGTATCGGAAACAAATAAAGTTATTTGCTGTGCTAGACATGAGAAACTTGTCAGCGTTGGTGTCGGTAAGTTCTTATTTTTTTTTTAATTTTAATTGCCCTGGTAAAAAAATGCTTGACATTTTGTAGCTAAATTTCTTGGTCATAAAAGGGCTTACAAAACTTGAGATGTAAGAACTAAAGGTGTAACGTTTGTTTACTATTCAATGGCTTTTCTTAACCATAAAAAATTCGCAGTCGATTTCAAACCTATACAATTGAAAACTGTGCTTTGGCTTATACTACTATGTTTACTTATAACTACTTGCAGATTTACAGATAATGGTATTCGCCATCTACCGGTGAAGGATTGAAGTGGGATTATCGCATTTAAAGTTGTTGAAAACTGGTCTAAATTTTATGATATGATTTAATTATGTTTTTCAGATTATTTAAAACGTTTGAATTTTAAACATAATTGTAAAAAAATTGCAAAAACAAGCCAATGCATAGTAATGTGTATTTTTGAACATTTTAAATGGTCATTTTTGATCATCCATCCATTAGTAATGTTGAAAATTTTTACCAGGGTAAAAGCTTTAAAAATTTTTATTAATATGCAATTCAATCGGACAGTATCTGTAATCATTATGTTGCTTTATTTTGACACTTGTTTGGCTATCATTAGTGTGAAATACCCCATTTTAAGTGATTCACTTTTCTTTATCATTCAGGAATTTCGGGAGAAACAATTAAAGTTGATGCTGGATATTGTAAAAATTACTGCCCTCGACAATTTTACGACGATCCAGGAGATCCTAGCAGACCAGCGGTGACGGTAAATAACGAACTTGGAAAAATATTGCACTGGCGTTTCCATTTCTTCAATAAATATAAACTGCCGACCTTTCAGGCAACTCGTTTAATCGAGTAGTTTTCGTTTTAATATTTAAATTTTTAATAAGTATACTTGACATATTTTAGAAATGCAAACCAAATACGAATTGCCGTCCGAGAACTTCCCGCATAGACAGAGTGTCGACGATCAAAGGATTTCAGTCGGTCGAAGTAGTCGAAACTTGCGACTGCCTGCCAGTTCACACGTGTCGTCGAGATCCTTATTCTCAAATTCTACATGTTGGAACTCCGTATCAAGTAGAAATCGATGTTGGTGTTTGTGTGGGTTGGTGCAAAAGTGAGTAAAAGTTTTATTTTAAATTGTATTTACATACGATTTTCAATTGATAATATCAAGCAAAATAATTGTGTGTGGCATACATAGCGAATAGCTGTAGGGCATCAAGGAATGCTTCAATAAGTGTTCGAGGGCCTAATGGTAGGTAAACAATTTCGAGGAGTGTTTTTGATGTTTTAGTTTATTTTTGTATGTAACAGTTCAATTTTTATATTAGGAGAAGAAGTATATCAAATAATAGATAGATGCAGTTGTGCCAGTAGTTGTTACAGAATGGATCACATAGAAACAATTTTGGATTTCAGCAGGATAGAAATAAAAGATAACATGAAGATAGCAGACGTTAGACCGAATGTCAAGGTTTTTTGTTTTACTCATTCGATTATATACAAGATCAAATTGTTTTTTTAAAATCATTGAAATAGTGATTTATCATCAATTTCACTTTCTCTAGGAAATCAATGTTGGTAAATGCATTGGGAAATGCAGTAACAGTACAACAGAATCGTGCCTTCTACGAGACAAGCGAAATCCACTCAAATGTTTGGCAGGTCTTTACAAGGAAAATAATTGCATTCCGGTCAAATTTCGAGTTCACGAGTATCGGTAAAGCATCAATGCACATTTGATAAAAAATCTGAAACGTAACGTCATAATATTTTTAGAACTCGACGAGGATTGAAGCGGGAGATCATACAAATTGCTCAATGTGCTTGCGTATGATTTCGCTGAAGGGCATCGAATTCTGAAGAAAAAATGGAAATTATTTTCAGGACTTATAACAGTAGAAAGAAAAAAAATTATTTTTAATAAACGTAAAACTATAATTTTTATACATGTACAATAATTTTTTCAATTGAAAATCTTTTGATAAACACGAATCTTATGCTTTGAATTCTATTTTTATTCAATACCTCGCTGGCAAGTAAATAAGGCTGTGGCAATTTTGTGAGGGTTCATTTACGAACAATTGTCCCTGTAGCGATGATCTCGTTATCTAGCAAATTGTCCAATCGCTCTACTTTCTCATAATTGAAATGTGTATCACGAGCGGCAATTTTATGAAACTGCGCAAGCTCGAGTATTTTTACTGAATCCGTCTTTTAGATAATTTATAAAATTTTATTTCAAATACAAAAATTAAACCTCAATGAAATTCGTAAACCAAAATAAAATTTGAAAATTGTAATAATTCTCGTGCTTGTTTTGTCCTAGTAAATTATCGAAAATAAAATTTCGAGCTGATTTTTCTAAAAATACATCGAGTGCCTAAACACCGGCTTAAGGTTCGGTAAATATTTGACAAGCTCGAATACATACGCACGCGTGCATCGCGAGATCGCTCGGGTATTTCACGAATGTCATAATGTAATCTAAAGGCAAATATTTATCCTCAACTACTGACATATTCGCACACCCACTTTACTTCCTCGAAATAAAATCGATCGGTCATTCGACCAACACATCCTATTATCTCATTTTTTTCAAAAGGCATTTCATTACTTAAGTAGCAAAGGAATGGCTATCTCGGCGGTAATCAGGTGAGAGAGAAATTGCGCAGTAAAACGTAAAAAATATAATAATTCCATTCGGTGACGCGCTCACGGAATGAGTATGCTATAGAAAAAAAGCTCCTTCGATTTTAAATAATTCAACGATGAATCGATTTTCGAGATAAAAATAGAGCAAAGATTTTGGTTCAAGATTAGGGAGTTAAACCGAAGCACAATCCCTCGCTCGGCAATTTTTCCTAGATCCGCGAAACGAGTGCATAATTTTTATTGATGATGTCTCATCGATACATATTATTATACAAAGTCACGCATCGCGCCGATGCGCAGAATCGTTGTTGAACGGCCGTCGCTCGCGACTGATTGCATTGCATCACGTCAAATAATATAATGCGATATGCCGATCTGGAATGTGCCCCGAAGTCAACGACACTATATGTACTAATAGGAGAGCAGCTGCCTATCCACATCATCTTCTCGTGTCGCGGCACGTATGTATGCTTTTTATCGCGCACACGATACCCGAGAGTAAGCAGTTGTACTTTCGGACACACGATAGTCGGTCACATACACACATACTGCGCGAGAGGCTTTGCGGTATTTATCCGAAGGAAGATTAGGGGTTGCTTACGTATATGGAAAGGTAATGATTGTTTACGATGTGTTGCATAATTTTTATGCTGACTATTGTACTCTTGATTTGATAACGGTATATAAGTTTAAAGAAGCAACTTTCAAAAATTGAAAAGTTAAACCTATTTTTCGTAGATTGATTGGACTGAGGTTTATTTTAAATATTATTCAAATATAATACCTTTGAAAAGTTTGCATTCATTTTAAGGAGACACTGCGAAGCCAGCGTTAATAATAAAAAAGTTAAAAAGGATTCTTGAAGTTACAGTCAAATATTTTCCTAAATGGTTCTCTTTTGGGTCTGGCTTTCCTATCTAAACCATATTCTAATACCGTAAAATAACAAATATTAACTCAATGTAACTTTCTTGTACTTTTTGGTAGATCTACGTAAATCAACCCTCAGTATAATAATTGAACTATTCTTCAAAAAATTGTTCTTTTACATTTTATTTCGTGGAATGATTAAACACAAAAATGTACTGATTAAATTATCTCTAGTCTGTACAAAGTTTTACAAATTATCGAATCATTACCCGATAAAACAATCATTAATTAATGAATGAATTAATTGCCGACACGCGGAAATTTGCTGCAGCTTTCTCCGATAAACTGACACACAATTCAGGCATGTGAATAAGTACGTCAAAAATCCAAGATAACCAAGTACACAATACACGAAGTGGGGGCTTTTTTTAAATCCGTCCTACTGCAGTAGTCTGTCGATGTCGTCGTTGTTGCAAGGGGCTGTATACGATAGTACATAGGCAACTGCACACGGTGGGCAGAAGAAGAAAAAGAAGAAGAAGGTGTGCACGCACACACGCATAGACACATACGTAGGCACACATCGCGAACTGCGAACGAAGGCCGCGTAGTCGATAAAGGTGACTCGACCGAGCGCGAGAAGCTCCATACGCAGCTTGCGGATCGCGTGACACGCAGCAGTGTTCCGCGCGTGTACCTCCTCGTCAGTTACAAGTTTAAATGTCTCGGAAAAATTGAGAAAATTGAATAAACGACCGGAAAATTAATGAAGGTGTAAAAATTACTAAAAATGGAGCCACGACTGATCTCATCGGTGATTGTGTTTTCATTAATTTTAACGCTAGTTAGGATAATTCATTCGGAAGATTTAGGTAAGGATTATGCGGTCAACGATTTGTACAGACAAGAAGCTTTCGAGAAGATAGAAAAGGTAAGATCTCGATACTTAATTATAAAGCAGTGCAAGAGTCATTTATGTTATTCTTTTGTCATTATTGTTTAAGATTCTGGGCATTCGCGGGAAGATCGATGAAGACAAACTAATAGAGAGTCCCCCGCAGTTCATGGCGGAGCTTTACGATGCAGTGACTGACAAGGACGGGGCAGTGATAGCGAGTAATCCTTATAACGCGAGAATCGTGCGGAGCATTCGAGAAATCGGCGCCCAACTCGGTACGTCGAAATGACAGCTGAATTTTATTAGTTTTCCTTTAAATACTTGTTTCACTTTAGACAGTTCAACGCCGCCTCATTTTTACTATTTCAACGTGTCGCATTTGAATCCGAACGAGTACATTATCGAAGCAGAGCTGCACTTGTACCTCAAAAATTCTAGATCGTCTCTTGGACATTTGTGGCCCTTTTACGACGTAAGTCGCAAATCGGATATTATTTTAAGCAATTTTTCAAATAAATAAAATTACCTGTATATGTCGATGTTGCAGATCAGAGTTTATCAAGTTTTGCCGGACGGTAGCTTGAACGAGCCCGAGGCGCATAAATTGTTGAGTATTCATCACGCCGATGCTCGAGCTTCGTCGGGCTGGCACGTGAGTCGCAATACAATATATTATAATCGTGAAAATAAGTCTATAACGATAGAAAAATAGAGGATATTGCTGAAAAGTTACATTCTTGATACGCTAATATTCCATGCGAATTCCGTTATTTATTGATGTACCGATGGCAGTACGCAATACAACGATGCTTTGAAAGATCGTGCGCAGTTCGTCGCATAGCATCATAATAGCCAGCAGAAGATAATTCGCATTTTTAAAAAGTAAAAACTTCTTTAGGCAAGCTGTGATTGGCCGGTTGTAGGTGCTCTGTATAGTTTCCCGAGAATCCGCTCGCTTGATTCTGCTGCGGCGACTGCCCATAGTATAGGTCTTTGTAAGGTTGTAACGTTCATGCAACGACGCGGGTACTTACACGTGTATAGTTCGTTTGCCTCGCCGTTCGTGTTCGTGCAGGTCGTATACGTACAACGGCAGTCGACCACTTATATAGGTGTAGCAGCTCGGGCGCATTTTTATTTACGTATACAGTATAAGTTACGACGCCGCAGGGTTAACAAAGAGAAAGTGATAAACTGCGACAAGTGTAAAAAAACAAATATTCAAATTATAAGTATCAAGTGACTGTGTATTTGTGCGAGTGTGTAGAACAATGGCACAAGATAACCAAAACTTCTTGAACTACTTGAAGTTAAAGAGGTCAAACGAGGAGGTGGTCTATCGGAAGATCGACGAGAAGAATCATGAATTTCTTCGTAAACTTTATTCTTTAATGATGGATTACGAGGGCCAACTGCCGAATCTTCGAGACATTTTTCGGCCCGAAGCCATCGATTGGCTTCTCAAGGAGTCCGTAGATCGGCTCGACAGATCCATAATCGACTTTGTAATCGCGACCGGCTACAAGGACGAGCCCAAATACAACAAAAACGGCGAGCCACAATCGCGTCGCACCACACCGGTGCATCATGCAGCAGGATGTATACAAGTCCCGCTTAGGGGATGCGCCCACAGGGACGACGCGATCGATGGTCTTTTTAAAATATTCAACAGATTCGACGTGAACTACACCGACGAGGATGGATTGACCCACTTTCACGTGGCCTGCATGTCCGGCTGCGACGACGTCGTCGAGAAATTTCTCGAACACGGACAGCATCCCGATCTGCTGGTGACAAAAACAGGCGATTCGCCGCTCCACTGCGCTCTGAATCACAAGCACAAGAACGTCGCCGAATTGCTGCTGAACAAAGGCGCCGATACGAATTTGACGGACAGGTACGGATACACACCTCTGCACGCTGTTATGGGTATGCAGCGACGCGACGCTTTCGACTTGGCGCGATTGTTGTTCGAGACCAGCGACGAGAGGCGTCGACCGTTGCGGGTCGACGTCCACGACGGGTTCGGTAATACACCGTTGCTCAGCGCGATAGAAAACGGATACGAGAACTTGACGGAGATGCTGCTGAGACGAGGCGCCGATCCCAATTTGCCGGACAAGGACGGATCGACGCCTCTGCACGAGATTTGCAACAGACGCGAAGACGGCGACGACTTGGCGAGGGTATTCTTCGAGACCTGCGACGATCTGAAGCTGAAGGTGCGGATCGACGCCAAGGACGATTCGGGTCGGACACCGCTGCGATTGGCCGTGGCGAGATTGTTGCCGCGCGCGGTCGATGTACTCCTGAATCGTGGTGCTGATCTGTCCGGCTTCGTTTTCCCTCCTGCGAGTGAATTCGGCGAGAGAATACATCTACGCGAGGATCTCGAAACGCCGCTCGAGTTGAGATTCAGACACGCGTCCGCCGCTTTGGCCGTTGCCGAACGCCTCGAGAAAAAAGGCTACCGATTGACCCGCGGCGACGCCCTGACGATGATGAAATTTTTCAAGGAGCGACAATTGTTCAAAATGGCACCGAACGTCGCCAGTTTGCTTCGCGCAGAGCGTTGGTACGACGAGGAGGAGTTCGCGAGAGAAGCGAAAAAAATCAAGGTAAAGTCGAGCCTGTCGCTCCACACTGACAGACCTTTCTAGCCCCGGTGCCGTGAAACGACACGGCGCGGATACTACACGAATTCAGGCACTGGCTACTGCAGTAACACACCTATGCACCGTGAGTCAAGCGCGCAGACCGTTGATCTCACAGACGGGCTGCCTGACTGTACTCTTGTAGCCTCGCAGTGAATACTCACGGACTATACCCGTGAAATTAAAAGGCCATCGCTACTGCTGCCGCGCTAAGACATTGTATACAAACACGCGATACGCTAAACGTAGACCGTTACATGTCTTCATAGCACATAGCCCACAGTGGTGATCGTAATTTGAGTTGAGTTGAATTGTTGAAATAATATAGATTTTTGATTAATGTATCAGGTGATAATATGGAAAGTTTTTTTCCAACAAGGAGACCACATAAGATGCGGGTCACCAAATGTCCTGAAAATTTTTTTCTGGTCTCCTGGTATCTAATAATGAAGCCCCCTATGCTTAGTTTGATTCAATGGGCCTTAGGGCCCATTTTAAAAATCATTTTCTAGTTTATTGAAAAACCTTTGTGATTTTCTAAGTAGTAATAGGACATATTAAACGGAAAATTGCACAATGTACAAATCTTAGAATTATTCAAAGAATACATTTGAATTTTTTCAGAATTTTCGAGACCTATCACCTATTTTCAAAGGTCCAAATTTATCGCGTTTTTACTTTTTTCTTGAGAATTACAGAGATCTTTGAAAATAAGTGATAGTAGGTTTCAGAAATTCTGAAAAAATTCAAATGTGTTGTTTGACTAATTTTGAGACTTGTACATTTTGCACTTTTTCGTTTAAGATGTCCTGTTACGAGTTAGCGATGAATTACAAAAATCAGGCATGTTTTTTTATCAATTCTAAACACTTTTTATTCTACAACTTTTTCTCGTAAAGTTGATGGTTATGGAGTTAAAAATTGTCGAAATCATTTCATGACATACAGGTCTTCGGGAGTCATATTTATGATCGCCATATTGAATCTCATAATTATAACTATTTTACAATAAAGTATACATGCCATTGTCCAAATCTATACGCTTGAGACGCACGAGCGAACCTTCTTTTCGTGTTGAAATTTGAGTTAAACGAAATTTTTTTCTCGAAATTTCATATTTTTTTTTTACAAAATTGTTTATAACTTTTTATTAAATAAATTTTTGAAAATTCTGACCCCAGATTTGAAAAGTACATTAAATTTTACGTAAGTAATTATATCTGAAAGGTTTTTACACAATTTTTAGTTGGTGTAATTCATCGCTATAAATGTTGTCCAAAAATGGTCATTTCAGACGTTAAAGGGTTAAACAATTACTTTTACAACTAATAAGATACATTCCCATTATCAGTAGCACTATGTAATGAGAATCCTACAAAAAATTCTGTTATTTATTCTTCTCGTACAATTTTGTTGATTGGCCGCTCGCCTTTTATACACAAAATCTCGCTGAACGCACCTCATAACGTAGCTATGATTTTTCACGGATATACTCCGTGAGTCACTCACGGAGCGGTTCCTAAGCGCTTCTCATAGCCAATACGTGAAAGTGAGGGGGATCGTTCGTGAATGTGTGTGGTATCCGCGCCGTGTCGTTTCACGGCACCGGGGCTAGAAAGGTCTGTCAGTGCACAGATTGGTTCGATTACGACCCGAACAAGCCGAAAAACGACTGACTCGCTCGGAGTACTTCGAGTTCGCGAGCTCGAAAAAATTGCGCAAGATCGTCGATTGGCGTACTCGCGAGGCTTGCGCTGCGCATCTGATCGAGATGCTGTCGAGAGGATTTTGCCGGCGTTGGGCACTGGATTCTCTTTTGAAGCTGACTAGAGATCGGCTGCCGATTCACTGCTGCGATATGGTTATCGAGCAACTATCGAACGAAGATTTGTGTAACATTTGCTTGGCGGTCCCGAATCTTCATAGCAGTAAACAGAATTTAATAAATAGTATTAACAAAAGACCTGTGAGAGCTAAGAAAGCTCCGGAAAGGCTGCAGTATGTGCGGTGAATATTGTGCGTGTTCTTTTTGTAGTCTTGTTATTAAATTTATAAAATTAAATTTATATTTAAGGGTTTGCTTGATGCTTCAGTAATTTTTTTTCATGTTCGTTGTGTTTTGCAGATTTTCCATAGTATTAAAATGAATAAATGCTTGGATATCAATTTCTTCATATTGCAATTTTATTTCAATTACCTTTATAAATAGTCATAAAGGAGTTTCACATAGAGCAACTATTTTTTTTTTTCATTTGCTTATTGATTTTTCAATCAAATACTGAGATTCGCTGTACATTCTCTTACACACACACATGTAAAATAGCTCAACCATTATTCGTCTCCTTTTTAAATAGTTTTCAGCAATAACCTTATTTTTTTTCTATTGACGACACTAAAATGTCAAATTCCCTCCGATCGATAAGTTATCTTTATTTTTAGATACTGAAAGTGAAACGAGCAGTTTTATCGTGGCTGCGCAAAAACGAGCCGAATCTCGGTCTCTTACTCACGGCGCAGAGCATCGACGGTCATCCGATAAAGCTCGACTCTGCTCGACACGGCAGCGAAGTCGCGAACGACAAGCAGCCACTCATGGTGCTTTTTAACGACGACGAGCATCGAAATCGAGTACAAATTCCACCATCGGATAGCGTAGTAAGGCATAAAAGACATCAGCAGCTGGAGCACACTTCCTCGATTCGACGTCGAGCCGCCTACGCTCGACGACGCGAGGGTCAACCGGAGATGGTAGACGATTCGATGACGGCTTGGCATCGCGATAAACCGATATTCTTCAGCAGGCAGAAGAAACCGCGTAAGATGCGTCAAAGAAACAGAGACGGCGGGTACAGCGACGATCTCGCTGCTTATCACGATTCTCACGGTCAGTTGGCTAATCTCTTCTTTTAAATTAACGCGCCTAACGTCAATTCGCTTTGTTTTTAAAAATTATCGGCGAGTTTCGGCACGCGACACTTTCCTTTTTTACGATTACATTCGAATGCAATGTACGGTAGATTTCGTATCCCGACGGAAAAGCGTGGACCAGTCGCTTACATCAATGAGCATCTACCAGCGAGCCATGACGCGCGAAAAAATGCGGACCAACGGTAATAAAAAATCGTCCACCGCCGACGAGATCGGTAGTAGAGGAACGAGATCGAGAAGGTCGTCGACGATGATTAGGCCGGCGAGACGCGATACGACGAGCGCGAGAGAAGAGGAAGAGTCATCGTCGTCGTCGTCTTCGCTGGATTGCGGCAGTGGATCGTCATCGAACGACGAGCCGTGCGCCAAGCGAGATCTCTGGGTGGACTTTTACGGGATCGGTTTGACGTCGATCATAGCCCCGTTGGGATACGAGGCTCGACGCTGCGCGGGACACTGCCGATCGCCGCTCAGCCAGGACCAGAAGCCCACCAATCACGCCACTATACAGGTAAATGTATAGAAGACGAAAATTTTTGCGAAAAATTACCCCTTATAATTGTTTTCGTTCGTAGAGCGTCGTGCACAAGATGAATCTCATACCGGAGCAGAGAGTCGATCTGCCCAGCTGCGTACCGGTCCATCTGGCGGGCATCTCGATTCTCTATCAGGACGACGAGACCGGCCAGGTGACGCTGAAAAATTACGACGACATGATCGTCGTGAGCTGCGGGTGTCGTTGACTCGCGACCTGATTCGTTGATATGCATGTAGTCAATTTGTTACGCGCGTATACATTAATTTCATTTGCGATCGATTTTCAATCAAAGTTGTAAAATAACGATATCGAAATTGAGTAAGACGACATTTCTTGTCGATCTTATATCATAATAACTTTCCGATATGTACGGTGTGTTTACATAATTTGTGACGTGCGACTCGTATCGGCCATGTGGTATACTATTATACGACCGTTGTCATCTTGAAGCAGATCGATCCCTCGTCGTTTACGCATCGATTTAAAAGACTGAAATGTGCGATGAAAAAGTGGCATGAGAAAAGTAGAAGTAGTGTCAATCTTGATTTTTAAAATGACGAAATGTACGGTGGACATACGCCACCTCGCCTATATCTATTGAATTTTCAATCTTGTGTAAAAATTGATTTTGTTTCATTGATACTATATATTATCAAAAAATAAATTCATTGGCAAAACTAAAAATTAATTATTTAAATAAAAAATTAAGAGAAAATTTAACTTGTTACTATGTAAAATCGCCAGTAGTTTGTTTCATCGTGTGTCTTTCTCGGTGGTAGATAAGAAAAAGAGCCGACTTGCGCAAACTTTCATTCAGTACTCATATAATTTGAAGAGTTTTAATATACAACTTTTGATCGCTAAAAGGGCTTAGAAAAAAAAAAGAAAAAATTATATGAGTCCTTTTATTTATTATATTTAAAGAAATGTAGAAAACAAATTATATTGTTAAATAGTTTTCCACTCCACACAGTACCCATACATAAATTTATCTAAATGTTTCATTAATTTGATTAAGCCAAGGTCTCGATATTATTGCCCGAGGTTTATCAAAAATTCAGTTTCGAACAAGACGTGGAAAAAACTCTCGGCTGATCATTACTTGAACAGCTACAGGTAATCAAATATCCAAAAACACTCCATCATCATGACAATGAACAAAGGGGAATAATGATTGAACGTCTAAGGTCAACATTTTTATTGAATTTAAAAAAAAATCTATAGGATTCTATGCTTTATGTACATTATACATATAAGCAATTGTCAATCATCATTTCTTCCCGCTATCTTGGCCCGAATAATCTTTCGCGACCCCATGTACTGTTCTTAGATGTTTGAGCAAATGCGGTTTTTGTCCGAATTTCTTCTCGCACTTGTCGCATGCGAAATCTTTGCGACCTTCATGGACTATTTTTTGGTGTTTGAGCCAATGCCATTTATGTCCAAATTTCTTTTCGCATCTGTTACATGCGTAACCTTTTAGACCTTCATGGACTGTTTTTTGGTGTTGAAGTAAATGCGATTTTTGTCCAAATTTCTTGTCGCAATTGTCGCATGCAAAATCTTTTCGACCTTCGTGTACAGTCCTTTCGTGGGCGAACAAATACGTTTTAAGTGCGAATTTTTTCTGGCACTTGTTGCATTCGTAATCTTTTCGACCCTCGTGTACTGTTCTTTGGTGGTAGAACCAATTACATTTATGTCCGAATTTCTTCTCACATTTGTCACATACGTAATTTTTGTGACCTTCATGCACTATCCTTTGGTGGATGAGCAAATACGATTTTGTTCTAAATAGCTTTTCGCACTTATCGCATTCAAATTTTTTACAACCTTCGTGTACAGTTCTGTGGTGGAAAAGTAAATGACATTTTTGTGTATATTTCTTCTCGCACTTATCGCATTCGAAATTTATAGAACCTTCGTCTACTGCCTTTTGGTGCAAAAGCAGATTCTGCTCGTGGCCAAATTTCTTCTCGATTCTGTTACATGTATAATCTTTTCGACCTTCGTGTACTGTCATCTGGTGTTTTCTCAAATTGCTTTTATACCCAAATTTCTTTTCGCATTGGTCGCATGTGTAATCATTTTGACTTTCGTGCATTATCTTTCGGTGTTTTTTCAAATTGCTATGACCCCCAAATTTCTTTTCGCATTGGTCACATGCGTAATCTTCGCGACGTTCATGGATTGCTTTTTGGTGGGAGAGCAAATTCACTTTTTGTGTAAATTTCTTTGCAAACTTACCACATGAGTAATCTCTGCGAGCTTCGTGTATTTCTCTTTGGTGTCTGAGCAAATTCGATTTTTTTCCAAATTTCTTCCCGCATTCGTCACATAAGTAATATTTACAGCCATTGTGAACTATTTTTTGGTGTTGGATCTCTTTTGATTTTATTTTAAATCTCACCTCACGCTCATCGCGTGCAAAATCTTTCTGACCCTCGTGTATTGTCTTTACGTGAGCGAGCAGACTCTGTTTTTTTCCAAATCTCTTGGCGCACTTTTCACATAAATAATCTTTGAAAACTTCGTGGAATATTTTGTTGTGATTAAGTAAAGTGGATTTATTTTCAAATTTTTTTTCACACTTGTTGCAAGTAAAATTTTCGCGATCTTTGTGAACTAATTTTTGGTGCGTTGACAAACTCGTTTTTTTCACAAATTTCTTTTCGCATCTATCACATGCAAAATCTTCGCGGCTTTTATGTTCTGATGTTTGGTGTCTACTCAAATGACTTCGGAACTCAAATTTTTTTTCGCACTTGTCACATGAGTAATCTTTTTTTTCGTTGTGAATTGTGTTTCGATGGGTTATCATGGTCGATTCTAGTGTAAATGCCTCTTGACAAATGTCATAAAAATGATTTGAATTATCTTTCGAGACAACCTCCTCGGATTTGATCTCACTTTTATCCATTTTGGTGTTTAAAATGAAGGTTGGATCCTTCTACTTTGGGCCACGAAAATTGAATGAGTAAAATGTATCTTTGTTATTGCTCAATTTCCAAACTGATTTGATTTTACTATAAACATGATCAAAGTTCGAGGGACTATAATAAAGTCGTTCATAATAATATTGTTTACAATTATGGTACCGATTTATCTGTTTGTACATTATTCTTGCAGTATACGAATCAGTTTCAAATTCTAACTTGGCGATGATTTCTCTGGAGAAATTTTTTTGGCCTTTTAAAATTAGATACTGAAAACTCCTTGTCTCATTAAGCAATATTATAGAAAAATTTTAATATTACCGACCTTTCGATCTTTTGAACAAATTACGTAAGTTATAAATTTATCTTTTTCTCGTGATTGAGATTAAAATAGTCATTGAACGAGGACAATTAATTTTTTTTTTCTTGAATTAAACGCACGAAAGGTAAAGTCGAGCCTGTCTCTCTACAAAATACTCACGTACACGGACTATTACAACTTTTCACGCTCTGCCGAATTGTTCAATAAGCTCACCGGAAGAGATGTCGAGGTTTGTGCTGGGCATCAAGCAGGATAGTATCGAGAGGATTTGTCCGACGTTGGGCACTGGATCCTATTTTAGAGCTGACTCGCAATCGGCTGACGATTCTCTGCTGTGATATTGTCATCGAGCAACTATCCAACGAAGATTTATGCAATATTTGCTTGGCGACTAATAGCCAAAATTACGATAACTGTAGGAAAAATGCAAAGAAAATTGTCGGAAATTGTACTAACAACAGACCCATGAGAGCTGAGAAAACTCCAGGAAGGTTACAATGTGTATGGTGAATATCATACACATGTACGTGTACATGTACATGTTCTTTTTTAGTTTTGTTATAAAATTAATAAAAAAATTCAATTTATAACGCCGATGTTTATAGTGCAAAAAACATGTCCAGTATGATAAATCATGTTTGAAATTAGTATCACCTTAAAGATTAAGTTTTTATCTTTTAAATGACGGGTCTAAAATCGATTTAACGTTGTTATTTCAAAAGTTATAGGTATTTGAAAATGGCCAAAAATGTGCATTTTTTCCTCTTTGAATCTCAATATCTCGGTAAATAATCATTTTACGAAAATTTTACAAGAGACACTTTTTGCTTAAAATTGCTCAAAGAACACAAATATGTGTTTAAAATTTAGAAAAATTTAAATTTTCTTCATTTTGCAATATATTTGTTTATAACAAATTTTTGGGCAGTCTGAGCGACTTTTAACTATGATATTCGGATTCAGCGGGAAAAAATACATAAAAATAACATGTTTTCATCCATCTTCTTCACGTGGCCGATCCGACCCCTCTTTGGCTCCAGGACTATCAAGTCTAGAAACAGTATACTATTATTTTAATGAGAATTGAGCGCTTACCTCATCGGCGACTCAAACGCAATTTGGTTACGTCCACGAGGTTCCTGCTGAACTCCTCAGCGACGATCCGTGGTCGAGACGGCGGAGCAGCACCTCCCGCAGGGGCTTCCTCTCGGTGACCTGGAGCATGCCCTTTCCCAGGGGGCCCTTCAGAGAGGTTCTGAAGCGTCGGCCGTCGCCAGGTTGACGGCTAATTGCTGGTCAGAAGGGGTTGCTTCATACCCGCGTGCAAGGGTAGAGAGAGAGGTAGGCAAATAAAGGAAGCGAGGTTAAAATAACTGAGCTGATCTTTATTTGCAGAGATGCGTTCAAGTTGGCGGTTGAACAGAGCGTGAGTGAGCACGGCGCAGCGTGCGGCGAGAAGGCTCGCGTCGGTGAAGAAGGCAGCGCACAGGCTGCGCGCGGCGCTGGTGATGCTTGCGAGAGAGTGGCGTCGCCACAGTTCCGACCGTGGCGCCGGATGCTCCGTGCGGCTGTATTTGTAGCAGGCCATCACGTGTTCCACGTCCTGGAGCGATAAGCCTGCCTGTTGCAGCAACTGAACATCTTCGTTCCTCAGCAGCTTGGTCAACCTAGTTTGAAGTTTGAAGCTGACCAATCCAGTATAATTTCATCTGTACAAGCGAATGTATTGGAGAAAATTGATTTATGTGATTACTATCATGTTTCATCGTCAAAGACATTGGAACAGAATCACAACTTAGCAGCAGAACCAATTGACCTAGAGTTTACCTGTAAGATAAACTTCAATAAACATATTAGTTTAGTTCAATTTAAATATGTATGTTCAAGAGCAGCAAAATCAGATAATAACTTTCTTGATTGACAAAGAATTTATCTGCTCGACTAATGTAGAATTGAAAAAGAAGTATAATGTCGATATTCCATTTAAAACATTATCAGCTTTTTTGGAATTCGATAAGGCTCTAGTGTCTAACAGATTAACCCTTTAACACCTGAAATGACCATTTTTGGACAACATTTATAGCGATGAATTACACCGACCAAAAATTGTTTAAAAATCTTTTCAAACATCTTTTCTCACGTAAAATTTAACGTACTTTTTGAATCCGGGGTCAGAATTAAAGAAAAATTATTCAATAAAAAGTTATAAACAATTTTGTAAAAAAAAAAACATGAAATTCGGAGAAAAAAATCTCCTTTAACTCAAATTTCAACACGGAAAAGAGGTTCGC